TTCTTTGCCACCCCCCTCCCCGCTCCATTGCCTCCCCCCATCCCCAGAGCGGAAGCCTTCCTTCACCATACAGTGTCTGCGGCGCCAGGGCAGTTGTGAGGATTTACCCATCCCAGGCACCTATCATCGTGGGCGCAACTCAGGGCCCAGCAGGGCTCAGGTGAGGTGGGGAATGGGGTGCGGAGGTCTGGAGGGATGGAGTTAGCCTAGGCTGAATTTATCAAACACACCACATGTCTTCCGAAGAATGAGGCATGTATGAATTCACAAAATCCTCATGGCACCGGTGAGACAGGTACTGTGGCTAGTCCCAGTTTACAGAGGAGGAAGTGGAGGCCCAGAGAGGCTTACCCAGGATCACACAGCCAGTCAGTGGCAGAGCTCAGATTTAAACCCAGGCCTTCTATGCTCTTAAGTAAACTCAAGTCTGATTTATATGTGTTCAGTTTGACTCCGGTTGTGTTTGGGGTGGGCAGTGGTAAGAGGTAGGCACAGGGGTGAGTCCTAGATCCTAATACCCCACCCAGCAGTCATTATCCCCCTGTTTATTCTGGTCCAGGGTTCTTGGGCAACCCCTCCTCAACGGGGTCGGCTCCTGTATGCCCCACTGTTATTGGTGGAAGAGGGCGCAGCAGGGGAAGGATACCTCGCCAAGTCCAGTGGTCCGCTGCGTACCTTCACCTGTCTGCATGTGCCTGGAACCCACTCAGACTCTAGCCATGGCAAGAGGGGCAGTGCTGACAGTCTGGTGGAGGCTGTGAGTCCAGAAGGGATGCGGGCAAGAGGGATGGGGGAGATGGGAAGGAAGCGGGAGCTCAGAAAGGAGGGGGAAGGGCCCCCCCACCCCTGGCTCTGTGTTGTGCTTGTAATTATCTATCCCTTTGCTCTGCAACTTCTGCTCAGCATGACATATGCACCACTGTCCCCAGTGACTCCCCTGCACACTTTCATGGATGATGCATCATCTATCTACACTGACTCCTCTGTGCACACTGCTTTGATTCCATGCTGTGCCCTCTGCCAACTCTGATCCCATCTGTGCCCCCAGGTGCTCATCTCCGAGGGCCTAGGCCTCTTTGCCCGAGACCCACGCTTTGTGGCCCTAGCCAAGCAGGAGATTGCAGATGCATGCCGCCTGACACTGGACGAGATGGACAGTGCTGCCAGTAACCTGTTGGCACAGGGGACCAGCTCACTGTATAGTGATGAGGAATCTATCCTCTCTCGCTTTGATGAGGAGGACCTGGGAGATGAAATGGCCTGTGTCCATGCCCTCTGAATTCCCACCCCTCCTCCACTGCTCAATAAAACTCCTGTTCTCCCTTCCCCAGAGGAAGACAGACATGGACCACAGTCCTGGATTTTGGTTTCTTTGCACTGGGGCCTGGGGCTGCCCAGTAGCCCCCAGCCATCCATTCCCTGCTTCAGCCCTGAGCCACTGCCCACACACGAATATTTCCAGAAACCAGGACAGCCAGGCCTGATTATTCAGCGTCAGTGAAGGAGGGAGGAGGAGGAGGAAGAGACAGCAGCCAAAAAAAGCTGGAGACAGAGTGTAGGTGGTGGGGGAGGGGAAGAGGACCAGACAGAGATGGAGGAAGGAGGAGGAGAGAGAATGTGTGGGGGCTTGGATAAGGAGTGAGGCAAAGTCAGAGATTCCACAAGGGGTCAGTCAGCTCAGACTGAGGAAGGACAGACAGACAGGATAGAAAGGATAAAAATACTCAGAGTAGAGAGTACTGCCAGTAGAAAGGCCTAGAGGTTGGAATTAGCCTGGTATGTAATATGTCAGGCAGAAGGGTCCTCTCTGACATCATCAGGAATTTCTGGGAAGCTAAGTTGGGATTACCCTAAGAAAAAGAAAATCTAAGTCCACTGACAGGAGACATGGGTGACAGCAAAGGGTGAGGCCCTCAGCCTATGGGTACCCACTTAGGACCCACCTGATTTTCCTGAGACCACCTAAGAGTACCCCCCTATCCTCCCACACAGATCCCAGAGCTCCCCTTTCTGCTTCTTGCCCTGCCTGTAGTCATTGTCCACCCTTTGGGGTATCATTAACTAAGTAAAGTTTTATTGGGCATTTACTTTGTGCCAGGCACTGCCCTGGGTTTCCCTCACACCAGACTGAGCGGGCTTAAACATGCCACAAGACTTGTCCAAGGTACCGGTCAGCTCCACTCCAAAGGAATTGGAAGTAGTGCGGGGAAAGGTCCTGGAGGGGGCCACTGCTGGGGAGGTTCTGACCTAGGGTTTCATCCTCAGCTTTCAGAGCAAGAATTGCTCATTTTTGTAATTTGTGTCAATCCAGCCAGGACTGAAATTTGAGGGAAGCCAGAATTGTAGACTGGGACTCAGAATATAGGATTGCACTAGACCTTGAAACAAAGGCCTGTGGTGGCTAGGGTGGTGCATTGTGGGCATAGCAAGTCATGGACAGAACACAAAGAGTGAAGGGAAACTGCTAAGGGATGAGGTGGGAGAAGCCACCTGAGGCCAGATGATGCAGACCCTTCAATGCCAGTTTCTAAACCCCGAGAGTTCTCCTAAAAACAGTGGGGAGCCATGGGAGAGATTTGAGCAGGGTAGTGACATAGTTAACTGAATTTTAAACAGATGCTCTGACGGCTGTGCTGAAAACAGAAGGGAGGGGGAAGAGACTGTAGATGCTAAAATTGGCAAGAACCATGGTTGCCTTAGCCAGGGGAGGTGGCAATGGAGATGGTGAGAAATTAGTGGATTCCAGAGATGTGTAGGAAGTAGAATGAACCATTTATTTGGCCCTGTGCTAAGTGCTTAACAGTGATTATCTTGTTTAATCAGTGCAACAACCCCATCGGTACCATGTTAAACTCTATTACATGTCCAAAGTCATACAGGAATAAATATTGAAGGTAGGATTCAAATTCAAGCGATTGAATGCCAAAACCCAAGTTCTTTCGCCAGAAAGGCACTACCTGGGAAGTATCCATTACATATTTGTGTGAAGTTGAGTGTGTATGTATGGGGATGTTTAAAAAATAGGTATATATTCAGATGGTTCAAGATTCTAAAGGTACATAGGGCTCCTGGCTGGCTCAGTCAGAAGAACATGCAACTCTTAATATCGGGGTTGTGAGTTTGAGCCCCATGTGTGGTGTAGAAATTAAACAAGCAGATAAATAAATATACTTTTAAAAAATTCAAAAGGCACAGAAGAACATAAAGTGGAAATTTTCCCTTCCTTCTAGGGGCAACCAGTGTTATCAGATATATTTTAAACATTATATATATATATATATATATATATATATATATATATATATAGTGCTGTACTGATAAGTTAGCACAGAGGTTAAGAAAAGCAGGTGCTGAAGCCAGACTTCCTGGTTCAAAACCTAGTTCTACTACTTAGCAGCTGTGTGAACTTAGGAAAATTCTTTCATCTCCTCACACCTTAGTTTATTCAACTATAAAAATATGGGTAAAATGAGGGATGGTAGTAGTACCTGCTTTATAGGTCTGCTGTGAGGATTTAAATGAGTGACATACTGAAGCTCTCCCAACAGTGCTTGACATAGAACAGGCACAATTTAAAATGTTAGCCATTCTCTATATAATCATGATATAATTCTTCCCTTTTCTTTCCACACAATTCCCACACAGTTTGGCATCTTTCATTTCTTACTTAACTATCTTGGTGATCAAAACGCCTGGGTGGCTCAGTGGTTGAGCATCTGCCTTTGGCTCAGGGCATGATCCCAGAGTCCCGCATCAGGCTCCCTGCTTCCCCTCTGCCTGTATGTATCTCTGCCTCTCTCTGTGTCTCTCATGAATAAATAAATAAAATCCTAAAAAAAAAACTATCTTGGTAATCATTCCAAGGCTCCATATTAGTATTAATGACAGCTACATTGTACTCCCATTTTGAGGCTATATCAGATTTTACTTAAACAGGCCACTAGCAATGAGCACTTAGGGAGTGTCCACTCTTTCATATTATAAACAGTGCTGCAGTGAGTCATCTTATACATACATCTTTTAGCTCATGTATGAATCTGTCAGATAAATTCCTAGAAGTATAAATGCTGAGCCGAACAGTATATGGATATGTTAGTTTGCCGGATTTTGCCAGATTGCCCTCTACATAGGTTATTCTAATTTAACTTCCACCGGTAATTTATGGGAATGCCTGTTTCTAGCCAACCTGCCAATACTGAGCTTAAGCAAACTTTTTTATATTCACCACCCTCAAAGGTGAAAAGCAGTATCTTAGTTTTCTTTTTTTTTTATTAGTAGCTTTCATAGGCATTTCTTTTAGCATAAATGAGGTTGAACATCTTAAACCCCAATTGTGTTTATCCACTGTGTTTTGCAACATGGCAATCGTCATTGACCTTGTGGGCCTAGTTTTAGAAGCATGAAGGTGGAATAGTCCAATTAAAAGAGGGCTGAGAAATAAACAGTCTGTAAAGGGCAGAGTCGGCGCAGGCAAAAATTTGAAAGTAAAAAGAGAAATAGAGGAGATGGTTGGAGGGGGCGGGTGGGGTTTTTAAGACCTTGAACAATGTTTGAATCGCTGAGACTTTGGGCACTACCAATTACTCGCGCAGCGACCTTGTGCAAGTAGGTTCACCTCTCCGGGGACTCCTTTTCCTCATCTGCAAAAACGGGACTAAGAGTCCCTACCACATAGGGCTGTTGGAAGGAACACATTCAACAAACGCCGCCAAGGCGCTGGCAAAAACGTCATACCATAGGACCGAATGGTCCTCCTGTCCCCAGAACTCTAGCTGTGGTCCCTGAGACACCGATCCTTTCTGAGCGCTCTCGCGGGTCCCGTTTTCCGGCCGGAAAGGCGGCGAGCGAGATTTAGGTTCGGCCGGCTGGGTGCGGGCGCGCGCGCGGCGAGTGGGGCGGGGGCGCGAGGGGTGGAGCCGCGGCCGCCTGGGCTGTTCCGACGATCGCGCGCCGCCCCCGCCGCGCCCCGCGCCCGCCCTTCTTAGCAGGCGCCTCCCGCCCCCCGCATTGCTGATGCTGCTTCTGGCAGACATGGACGTGGTGAATCAGGTACGCGTTCCAGCACCGAGGACAGAGCCCGCCGCTGCCCGGCCTCCCCGCCCGGAACGCCGCGGATCGGGCGACTCTGAGAGGCGGTGGCCAGGGTCCTGGCAGCGGACGCTCGGTCCCTGGCACTGGGGCTGGGGTCTGCGGCAGGCGAGGGGGGAAGGGGGAGGTGGAGAAAAGAAGGAGCGCGCCCTTTGCCGCAGCGAGGGCCGTCCTCACTGCCGCAGCGGGGTCCTCCTGGAGCCTGGTTCCTTACTGGCCACCATGAGGAGGAGGGGGGTCTTGGGGCTACAGTAGGGGCAACGGGGTGGGGGGAGAAGAGGAAGAGTGGAAGGAAGATGGGGGTTGCTTGTAGTTGAGCTAGGAAATAGAATGACAGAAGGCGTGGGGGCGGGGGATGGGGAAGGGCTGGCACCTGTCCCTCCCAGAGAAAGTACCCCAGTAGATGACCACCCCTTCCCCTAGAGCAGACCAAGGGGGACGATTCGACTTTGCCTCCCCAAGACCCCTAGTCTCCCCTCCCCCAATACATATCTAGTGAAGCCATGTCCCAGCCCTCCCCCACCTTAATCAGCCCAGACCCTCTCTGCCATCTCACTCTTCTTCACCACATCAGAACCTCACCCTCTCTCTAACCAGTACCAACCCCTCCCCATCCTCATCACTTCAGACCACCACCACCACCATCTGACTCACCTTTACCGCTGCAAACCCCTCCCCCACCGTGGCCAACCTGACTCCCTCCCTGTTATGACTTACCTTCACCACCCAGAACCCCCTTCCCCTCAATGAACCCCGACTCCTTCCTCACTCTTCCTTTCTCACTTGATCCCCTTCACCATCTGACTTACTTTTACTGTTTCAGACCTTCTCCCCTTCCCTAATTAGTCTTGACTCCATCCCAATCTTCCTCATCCCGACGACCCTCTGCCATCAACCTCACCATTTCCCCAGACCTCCCCACCACTTCTGAACCCTGAGGGTCTTCTCTCAGATATGCTGTACTCCCACCTTCCCTGAAGTGTCACTTTCTCCTCACCCCTTCTCTCCTCCGAACATCACTCACTCCCGGAGGACACATGCCCTAGTCCCAGGGGTCATCGCCTGGTGGCCTTGCCCCTCACCTCCCTCTCCATCCCCAACAATCCCACCCCCTCCCCACCATTTTCTCTCCTCAGCTGGTGGCCGGGGGTCAGTTCCGGGTGGTCAAGGAGCCCCTTGGCTTCGTGAAGGTGCTGCAATGGGTGAGTGTGGCCTGGGCCATGTGGAAAGAGAAGGAGGTAGTGGGGTCTGGACGAGTAGGGGTGGGGAGCAAGGAATGGATGGGCGGGGGGAGGGGTGAGAAGGGGGATGGAAGAATTGGGCTCCAGGGTGAGGTCCCAGGGGGTTAGGGCCAGAAAATAGATGGGCCATGATGTGACGTCATGTAAGACCAAGGATACCCCCATTGTGAGGTGAAAGAATGTGACGTCCTACCTCCTCCCCTGAGGTGAGAGAGGGGCAGGGGAGGTGGAGCCTGAAGCTGGTGCTGCAGAAAAGATGCAAAGCCAGAAAAATCCAGAGATGGTGAAAGAGACAGAGAGGATGAGAGACAGGGAATGATGGAGACAGAGATGGAAATACCGAGAAGAAAAGATACAGAGATGAGAGAGTGGAGGCAAGCAAGAAAAAGCGAGACAGAGATGCAAAGAGAAATGGACACAGAGAGAGTGGCAGAAAAAATGGGATGGGGAAGAGACAGAAACAGAGAAAGAGAGATACCCAGTGGAGAGAGGAGAGGAGAAACTGATACACAGAGAAAGCAAGATGTATCAGGGAGAGCATGAGACAGAGACCAAGGCAGAGAGAGAGGAGGGAGATAGGGACAAATAGACCAAGGACAGAAACACACACAAGGGGAGACATACATTTTACACGGATGGAGCCAGAGGAAAAAAGAGACCGAAAGAGACATACATTGATACTAGAGAGGCAGAGGCAGAGAGCAAAACAGAGATACAAAGAGACATCTGAGAAAGACAAGAGAAACAGGTACCAAGAGAAATAGAGACACGGAGAACAGAGACAGGCAGAAGTACACAGAGAGAAATAAAGAGGCTGAGGCAGAAGATAGGAAGGGGCGGTCAAAGCATCGACGGGTAGAGACTGAGAGAGACACTGAGAGAAAGACTGAAAGAGACAGCCACACCCCTGTAATCAGCTTGTCCTTGGAGCCGATGAGCCCTGATTAGGGGGTGGGGGTGGGGACCAGTCCATCTGCTGCTGCTTGTGCGGGGGCCCTGCTTGTGCCGGGCTCACCATGGCCATCCCCATCCCCTGTGGCCCAAGGTCTTTGCCATCTTCGCCTTTGCCACATGCGGCAGTTACACCGGGGAGCTCCGGCTGAGCGTGGAGTGTGCCAACAAGTCAGAGAGTGACCTCAGCATCGAGGTTGAATTCGAGTACCCCTTCAGGTGCGCCCCCACCCCACCCCACCCCAGGGATCCCAAGAAAGAGGGTGGGAGTGGGGTGGGACTGGCCAACCCTGCCTCCCCAGTGGCTCCTGTTCAGTCCCCACCTCAGGAGACCACATTGGCTCAGGTCACTGTGCATGCACTGAGCACCTACTTTGTGCCTGGCACTGCTCTGGACATTTAGGACACGTGGTAAGCAGGACAGGCATAAGCTGTTGCCCTCTGGCTGTGTTCTAGTGAATGCAGAGGGGCAGGAGACTGGCAATAAACAAGATTCAAAAACAGAAATATATATATTTATATATTAAAGCAGTAGTTGCTTAGTTAATGTCAGCTAATATTATTTCATTCCCATTCATTTGTTCCATATACATTTTTTTTGAGAACCTATTGTATGCCGGTTTCTGCTCAAAGTGCTGGGGACATAACAGGGAAAACAAAACAAAACAACCCAGACCAACCTCCCCACCCTCCTGGAGCCAACATTTTAACAAATAAATCAGTAAAAAGGATGATTGCAGATTGGGAGAAATTCAAAGAGGGGATACTCGTGCAGGGTTTTATCACAGAGAATAATGAGGGGGTCTGATTAGCTATAGGGAATGATTAAACCCAGTTAAGCAATTCTGATATTTACTATACTCACATTGTGTGCCAGGTGCTAGGAACGTGAGGATGAGTGCAGTCAGGCAAGGTCACTGCCCTCATGATGATGCTTACCTCCTGGGGAGTGGGGAGACAGATCCGCAGACACCATTTCAGTCGAGGCTCCTGAGGCTCCTCCACCACTTAGACAAATCACATAACTGCTCTGGGGTCTCAATTTCCTCGTCTGCAAAAGAAGATAATAATACCTACCTTACAAGGTTCTGATGAATATTAAGTGAGTTGGTACTTGTTAGGTGCTTAGCACAGTGCCGGGCACACAATAAGCTCCCCACGAGGGCTCGTTAAAATAAAGAAAATCAGTAAGTTTAAGGGCCTCTGGAAAGAGATCGGAGATTGAGTTGGAAATTGGGCAGTTTTGAGCACTATCGGCAAATGTAGACTCAGGGGATCACCCAGGGTGAGAGGGAAGAGTGGAGAGAGGAAAATCCAGCATTGGCCCTGAGCAATGGTTAAAAGAAAAAGAGGCACCAGGGAGGCGTGGCCCGAGGGGCAGTGGGAAGCAGGGATCCCCTGGTTCACAGAAGCCAGGAAGCAGAGTTTGGGGAAGGAGGAGAAGCTGGAAGCATAGGATACTGCTGGGAGCCCTCTGGGGATCCAGAAGGCCACAAAAACCCGTGGACTCCCCAATAGCTCTCACACATAGGACCTCCAGTCCTGAAGATCTGCCTTTTAGCTACAAGTCTCCTGCGAAAAAAGTCTTTGCCCTGGCCCCCCTGGCCTTCCTCCTGCTGCCCTGATAACCCCCCAGAGCTCCCCAATTCCCATTAGACACCCCTTCTCCCAACCCAACCTACTAGGAACCCAGAAACTTACCCAGATTCAACTCTTAGCTGTCATTTAGCAGCTATACAACCTTGGGCACCTAACATAACCTTGCTAAGCCTCTGTTCATCTGTAAAATGGGTATATTAATGCCTCCTTTAGAGATTGAGGGGGAGGGTCACTGAATGAGGCAGTTCCCTAAAGTGCCTGGTAGGTGATCATCAGCATAAGCCCCTTCCCTCAGGACCTTTGCTACATAAGGGGACTAGTACCATTCACTCAGTCTCAGGATCCTGCCCCCCAATCTGAAGCCAGAGCCCCAGAACCCCACCCCAGACCTTCTCCTCACACACATTTTCTCCCTATGATTTCCATTATACTACAGGAAAGCCTTAGTCCCAGGACACCTTCCCAATTGGCCCCTTCCCACCTCACATACATACATTCTGTTTGTTCCAGTATCCCTTCTACCCTCCTGTCTTTCTGTCTCCTGTTCTTTTTTTTTCTATCTCTTGTTCTTACAGACTCTGAGCTCTCCTCTGCTATGCATATGTTTCTTTTCTCTTGGGGACCTGGAGTAGGGTAGAGAGAAGAGTCAACATGATGTAGGGAGAAAACACAGGGTTCATATCCCAACCTTGCCATTCTCTCCCCAGCTGTGTGACTTTAAGCAAATTAATGCACTTTTCTCAGCCTTTATCCATTTCATGTGATAAACATTTACTGAGCACCTACTATGTGACAGCATTGTTCCAGGTCCTAGGGATATAGCAGTGAATGCAGCAAAGGAAAAAGACCAGCTCTTTTTTGTAAATGTTTTTTTAATTTTTATTTATTTATGATAGTCACACACACACACACACACAGAGGAGAGAGAGAGAGAGAGAGAGAGAGAGAGAGAGAGAGAGAGAGGCAGAGACATAGGCAGAGGTAGAAGGAGGCTCCATGCACCGGGAGCCCGACGTGGGATTCGAGCCCGGGTCTCCAGGATCGCGCCCTAGGCCAAAGGCAGGCGCTAAACCGCTGCGCCACCCAGGGTTCCCCCAGCTCTTTTTTAAAGATTTTATTTATTTACTTGACCCAGAGAGCGCATGTGAGAGAGAGTACAAGCAGGGGGAGTGGCAGACAGAGGGAGAGAGGGAAGCAGGCTCCTCGCAGAGCAGAGAGCTTAATGCAGAACTTGATCCCAAGACCCTGAGATCAGGACCTGAGCCAAAGGCAGATGCTTAACCGACTGAACCACCTAGGTGCCCAAGCCCAACCCTCTTTTAATGAAGGGGAAAATCAAGGAAAAAAGTAAAACACATGATATGTCAGATGCGTAGGGTATCACTGCTACAGAGAAAAATAGAGCCAGGAAGGGGGCTAAGGAGCACTGGGAGGGAATGGTTCCATCTGATTTTAATAGTGAGATCAGGGAAGGCCTCATTGAGGTGACAGTTGAGCAAAACTTGAAGGACATGAAGGGTGTAATATCTAGGAGAAGGGCATTCCAGTGCAAAGATCCTGGGGTGGGAGGGGCCTGGTATGTTCTACAAATAACCAAAAAGTCAAAGCGCCTGTGTTGGAGTAGTGGTCAAAGAAGACCTAGTTCACCGCAATTGGTAAAATGTGACTGGTATACAGTAGGTGCTCTGCGAATGGTTGTTCACCCCTCTTCCTTCCTGGGACTTTGTCAGAATCTGGGGAATCCATGACTGGGCAGGGGGAGTGGGGGGTATTCTTAGGTCCTGGGCCACACCTACCATCTCTCCCCACAGGCTGCACCAAGTGTACTTTGATGCACCCACCTGCCGAGGGGACACTGAAAAAATCTTCCTGGTGGGGGACTACTCCTCATCGGCCGAATTTTTTGTCACCGTAGCTGTGTTTGCCTTCCTGTACTCCATGGGGGCTCTGGCCACTTACATCTTTCTGCAGAATAAGTACCGAGAGAACAACAAAGGACCCATGATGGTGAGCCCCACAACCACTCAAGTACAGGGGCCAGGGACCATGGAGCCTCAGGGACACAGCCATGTTCATGGGCCACACCAAACCCTAGACAGTCCCACATGCAAGCAGTCACCATAACAGCCACAGATGTCACTGCTGCTGCTGCTGCTGCTGCTGCTGTGAGCATCAAAGAAACCAAATCATAGAATGACAGGGACATGCTCAGAGCCCACACAGAATCCCAAACAGGCCTAGCCCTGGAAACCTACCACCTCTCATACAACCACACAGTCTAGATCAAGGAAAAGTGCACAGAGGTTCACTGGGGCAGTCATGCTTGTCATCATGCCACCCAGACACACTGATTCCTACACAGCTGTACTCATACACCCTCATCCCAGACACAAAATGACATAAATCCCCACATCGAGATGAAAGTAGAAAGACACACTACTTTCCACAGATTCAGAAGCCATCCCACAAAATCCTCCCACAACACACCCACACATCACAATTACACTCCCACATCCTCACATGCATACACACACACACATACACACAAGCTGAAGCTAGGAATGCTCACCTTCGAGTGAGTATTGGGGGCTTCGGAGCTGGCTAAAAAGGCAGGAGAGAGACAGGGCTTTTCTGCGGGGCCTCCCACTCCCAAGAAAGCGTGTGATCTGAGGAGGCCCCATGGCATGAGGTGAAGCAGCCCACTCACAGGGCCATCTGCCTCTCTCCTGCCTGTCCTAGGACTTTCTGGCCACAGCAGTGTTCGCCTTCATGTGGCTGGTTAGCTCATCAGCGTGGGCCAAGGGGCTGTCAGATGTGAAGATGGCCACTGACCCAGAGAACATTATCAAAGGGATGTCTGTCTGCCACCAGACAGGGAATACATGCAAGGAGCTGAGGGACCCTGTGACCTCTGGCCTCAACACTTCAGTGGTAAGCCCTGGGAAGGTGGCTGGGCTGGTGGGCCAGCTGGGAAGGGAGGCTGGGAAACTCACCGTCTGGCATGGGAGTGGTGGGGAGAATGAGAGGAGAAGTCAAAGGAGATCCCCGAGGGCTCCCTGGAGGAAGCATGCCAACAACAGTGCCTTGAAGGATGAGATAGCAATTATAACCACTTCAATACCACAAATAGTCCCCAGGAGGGGAATATGAGACCTTCTGTCCGATTAGGTTTGGGAGATCTGGATCCCAGGCTCAGCCTAGTCATGTAGATCCTCTAGCAACTCAATACCGTCTGGGGACCAGCGTCCTTATACAGTATGCCAAATGAAAGAATAACTTGAAATTTTTCCCGCTTGGGCTCCCCCTACTGGCCGGAGTCAAACCATCTGTGCTCTACCACCTACAACTCTGATCTCAAACTAGCCTCTCAGCCTCAGTCTGAGCATGTAAATTGAAAACTAATAAGAAGTCCTCTCCAAAGTTGAGTATTCAGTGAACTAGTAACATACAAAGTGCTTAGAAAAGGGCCTGGCATGTGGTAAATTGTATACAAGTGTTACAGATGCTAAGATACCAACTTTTCTGTCACTCGCAAGGTAGGAGATTTTGAGCATCTTAGCCTCTATGGGCCTGAGTTCCATATATTTTATGTAAAGATATATTTTTATATACTTTGTATATGTGTATCTATTAGTGGTGTATCTACATAATAAAAATTCGTGCTTAACATGCCATTACAAATTTATATTCTATTTTAGACATGTATAAATGTGTATATGTAATTTTGATAGATGCAGACATCCCGGAGAATCTGAATTCTAACACGCCCCCCACCCCCACCCCAGGGGACTTTTCTGCACATTTGCGTTCATGTGCCAGGACTCTAGAGGGTCCGGGTTCTAGAAAGCACTTTTTCTTCGGCAGGCCACAGATCTATGCTCCACGCGCGCAGCCTCGATGTTCCCCGGGGCCAACTCAATGCGCGCCACACTACAGCCAGGGTTTGTCTCTCCGCAGGTGTTCGGCTTCCTGAACCTGGTGCTCTGGGTCGGCAACCTGTGGTTCGTGTTCAAGGAGACCGGCTGGGCTGCCCCATTCATGCGCGGACCTCCTGGCGCTCCCGAGAAACAACCAGCGCCTGGGGACGCCTATGGCGAGGCGGGCTACGGGCAGGGCCCTGGCGGGTACGGGCCCCAGGACTCCTACGGGCCCCAGGGCGGCTACCAGCCCGACTACGGGCAGCCCGCCGCCGGCGGCGGCGGCGGCGGCTACGGGCCTCAGGGAGACTACGGGCAGCAAGGCTATGGCCCTCAGGGTGCGCCCACCTCCTTCTCCAATCAGATGTAGTCTGGTGAGTGACGGACGGGCGGCGCGGCCAAGGAGGGTACAGGAAATGAGACGGGCGGGTCAGTGAACCAATAAGAGTCGAGAGTAAATGGTACGTAGGCGCGGGGGGCGAGGGCGCCAATGGAGAGGCGGGGCTAAAAGCGAAGAACGAAAAACTAGCCAATAAGTGGAAAGCAGGAGAGCGGTGCTTGAAGATTGGCAGAATGGAAAGCCAATGAGAGAGAAACAAGTGCCTCTCCGAGGGGAGGGGAGAGAAAAAGCGGACAGAACAACCAATGAAAGAAGGGAATGGCAGGAGGACTTGCATAAGAGGGAAAAGGAGGTGGGCCTCAGAAGTGATTGATTAGCCAATATGTTCTGATAAGGCCGATAGATGGTGAAGCTAAAGGGGCGTGGGGTCACGAAGGCCAAACAAGCTCACTGATCCTGTGGTGAGGGAGGTGGTGTGGAATTTCACGGAAGGAAAAGGGGGCAGGTGGGGGCAATGGAAAGGTTTGCAGGCCTTCTTGCTGGGCCTGGAAAAGAGAAGAGCGATAACTTCGCAAAAGAGAGAGGGAAATGGGAAGAGGCAGGGAGATGGCAACACGTGGGTGGAAATAACTTCTGGCACTTGGCCAGGATGGAAAGGGCAGGGAGGAGTTTATTAGGTATCTTACATCTAATTCATCAAAAACTCCTATTGACTCTACCTTCAAAATATATTCATAATCTTCCACATCTCACTGTCCTCTCCTCTGGACATCTTCACAGCTTTCCACCTGCATCCGCATTCTGTTCGACTCACAGCATTGGGAGGGATCCTGTTACATCTTAAATCAGGACACGACCCTCCTGTGCTCAGAGCTCTACCTAGGCTCCCATCTCACTCACGTTTAAAGCCAAAGCCCTCACCAGGCATGACACCAAATGTCACCTGTCACTTTTCAGACCTCCTACCACTCCCCACTCCCAACTGTGTTCCAGGCACAAGCCAAATTCAGGGCCTTGGTACTTGCTTTCCTCCTGGAGTTTTGTGCCCACACACACTGATAACCTTACCTGGCCAGCTTCTTACAAGTCCCCTTTCTTAGCTCTCTTATGGTACCCTATGCTTTTCTTACCATAGTCTGTAATTATTACTTTATATGTTTATTAACTATCTCTTCCACTAGAGGATGTGACCATGACTTATTCATGCTGTACATACATCACTTAGAGCCCTACTAATGTTAAGAAAGATTTATTGAGAAAATAATAGAAACAATATGAGACATTTTACTCTTTTATATATCTCTGCTTAAAATCTTCCGGTGACTTACACCTCATCAAAGTCAAAGCTGATGTCCTCACAATCTAGGCCCTATAGGACGGCATTACCAACCTCTGTAATATCACCTCCTACCACTGTCCCTTGCTCACTCCACTCCGACTTTCTTGCTGTTCCTCAAATACACTAGATGTGGTTCTGCCTCTGGGCTTTTGCACCAGCTGTTCCCTCTGCCTGGAATGCTCTTCATTGTTGTCTGCATGCTCTTCAGTTGTCTGCATGGCTCATTCCCTCACCTCCTTAACTATTTATTCCAATATCACTTCTTTTTTTAAAATTTTATTTATTCATGAGACACACAGAGAGAGGCAGACACAGGCAGAGGGAGAAGCAGGCTCCATGCAGGGAGCGTGACGTGGGACTCCATCCCGGGTTTCCAGGATCACGCCCTGGGCTGAAGGTGGCGCTAAACCGCTGGGCCACCCAGGCTGCCCCTCCAATATCACTTCTTAACTGAGGTCTTCTCTAACTACCCTACTTACTACAGTAACATTTCTTCCCCTACTGGTACTCCTACTCCCCCTCACCCTGGGCTACCTTTTGTTTTTACATTTCAATTATCACCTTATGTCATGCTAGATAACCCACTTACACGTTTCTATTATTGTTTGAAGTCTGTCTCCTCTGCCACAACGCAAGCACCACAGAGATAAGGAGCTTTGTTTTACCCAATACAGTTTATCACCAGTGGCTAGAACAGTACAGTTTAATGGACATTTGGGGGTTAGGGGAGGGGGAAACCATAATGTCTTTGGTACTTAACCTAGCAGGTGCAAGGTATATCTTCCCAATAGGGGCAGCTGGGATGAAGCTGACTTCAAGGACTATTGAGTGAAGGAGGAAGAAAAGACATGGCAGGCAGAGGGTAAAGCCAAGGTGGAGGCCTAGCAGCCCAGCCCCCTCCCTAAAGGCACAACCTATGTCTGGACCCCCTCTCCTTTCTGTATCTTTTGTCTCTACAGGTCAGTGCAGCCCGGGAGGACCCCATGTGTGGGCAAGAGCTCAGAAGCCCTGTCCCCTTTTCCACCCCTCCACCCCAGGTCTCCGCCCCTCAAGCCAGGAGACTCTCTCTTTGCTGTTTATATATATATATATTATATATAAATATCTATTTATCTGTCTGAGCCCTGCCCCACTCCACACTCCTCATGCATGAGGGGCCTGACCTTGAGGGGGCCCCTCTCCTAACCTCACCCCTTCCCTTGCATACCTTGGCCCCTCTCTGTCCCCTGGCCCTGTGCCCTGAGGTTGGGGGACTCTGAAAGGGGGACAGGGAAAAGACAGATCTCTGCTATGTGGGGAGGGTCGGGGTGACTTCAGACTCTCTCCCCTCTCTCCCTTCCCTCCTCCCAACTGGCCTTGATTCCTCCAGCAATGCCCAAACGGGGATGATTAGGGGAAATTCAGCCCTGAGAGGGCAGAAAGGCAGACTGGGGGACTTGACCCACGGTGGACTTGGAGAGGAGCTCTGGGGTGAAGAGGACTAGTAAGCAAGGGGTTTGGGTGCCAGACACACTGGATCTAGAGTCCAAAGAAGAGGGGTGCCCTAGAGCATTCTGGAGTGTGGCTTGGGATGAGGCTGGGGGCGTGGTTCTAGAATGGGTGGAGCTTTGAGTGAGGCAGGGGTTGGGCCTCCAAAGTGGGCAGGATTTGGAACAGGACAGGGTCCTATGGGAGGGGTGTGACTGGGGACCTGGGGACTGGGTTCTAGAGGGGTGAGGCCTGAACCAGACGGTGGGAGAGGTTCTAGAGTGGGCAGGTCTTGGATTGGGACCAGAGGGTACGGAAGGGGTGTAGCTAGGAATATTCAGGAGACGGAGTTTGATTCTACAGGGGGCAGATCTTGTGCAAGGCGAGAGGTGGGATTCAGGAATGGGCCAAGCTTGAGGTGAGGTCGTGGTCTGGGTTCTAGACAGGGCGGGGATTAGAGTGGGTGTTCATGGTGGCTTCAGAAGGGGCAGCCCTCCCCAATAGAGCAGTGAAAAAAAAAATGTTTTAAAGGGGGCGGGCTTAGCAGCGGTGGGCAGGGGGTGGGGGGGGCGGGAATATCCCTGACGAGAACTGAGTACTGAGGTGACCTGGGAGGACCTGAAGGCTTGGAGGGTAAGGGGTGGGATCCAGAGAGAAGCACCCCCCACACTCTTGCCCACCCCCGTAACGGGACAGCTAGGTAGTCAGAGGACAGAGCCAACGGGTCTGTGGGGCCGGCCCACCCCTCCCCCGCTTCCCTTGCCTCCTCCCTCCCTCCACACCCGCGCCGTCCCAGGGTGGTTGGAGGCCCGGTCTGAATTCCCTATCCTGCACCCTATGCTGTGTCTATGACGTCGGTAGTGCCTGTGATTGTGTGTTGCCATTTTGTCTGGCTGTGGTCCCTCCCCCTCTCCTCCAGACGCCCACCCTTTTCCTAGCCCGTCGGTATTGTTTGAAGACCTCCCCGAGGAAGAACAAATAGGATTAATTCTCCTCCCCTAAATAAACTCCTCAACCACCGAGTCCACCCGGATCTGATTTCTCAGTGTGTCTTTCTGTTTTTGGAGGGGGGAGGAAGAAGGAGGGGTGGGGTAGAGGCGGCGAGAGGAAGCTCCGCCCCTGACCTGCTGGACCTGCCATTCAAGTCACCCCATCATTTCAGGTCCCTCCAGCAGCATAACGCCAAGCTGCATCCTCGGTGAAGCCTCACCTCACCTGTCGATCATTCTGTCTGTCTCTGAGTAGCCCTGCATGCTGCCCCCACTACCGGCCGCCGAATGTCCAGTGTTTGTAGGGGTCAGTTCTAATTCTGGTCCACTAGCCACTCCCCTTCCCAGACCCTGTGGAGCCCTGTCCTCAAACCCCATGGGGTCTGAAGAGGACCCCTATACTTCACAGGGAGACTTCCCCCTACCTACGGGCCTCGTGTTCTTCAGACCCAGCCTTCTCGCCATTTCATTTCCTGCCCAACCTGGGGAACTGGGAGACACACGCTAGGCTGCAAGGCCAGGAAGCAGGAGCACAGGGGTGACTGTTACCTCATTAATTCATTCCCTTTAACCCTTCCCTGGCTCCTCCCTGGGGCAGGGGGAGGGGGGTGGAGAGTGACTGGGATGTGCGTAATGGAGCTGGGTACGGAGTTGGTACCCTGTGCCCACGCTGAAAGTCCCGGCTGCTGCCATCACCCTGCCTAATTAAAAACCCCCGCCCAATGCCCAAGTTCTGACTGTGGGCCGGGGACCCCCCTCCTCCTAGCCCTGAGACACAGCGAAGCCTGACAGGTAAAGGAGAGACTCCCAGCTATGGGACTGAGCTCAGCAAAAGGGCTAACTGGAGAGAAAAAAAAATGGGAGCCAGGGAGGGAAGGCTTTAAGATCTATTTCTCAGGGGGCGGCTGGGTGGCTCAGTTGCTTAAGCCTCCACCTTCAGGTCCCATCATGATACTGGGTTGGGGCCCGGTCGTGATCTTGGGGTCCTGAGATCGAGCCCCACGTCGGGCTCCCTGCTCTGTAAGGAGTCAGCTTCTCGTCCCTCTGCCTGCTGCTCTCCCTACTTGTTCTCTCACTATCTCTATCAAATAAATAAACAAAAAATATTTTAAAAATAAAATGTGCACCCGCGAATCCACTTCTGTTTAAAAAAAATCGATTTCTCAGGACTTAGGGGGACAAGACAGCTGGGCCTGTTAGGAAGGAGAGGGAGCGGGTAGTGGGGCCTCGGAACCTGGCCAGTGACTTTAACCTTTTCCCCATAAATCTCAAATAGTCCTGGCTCTGATAGGGTTTGGGAGTGGAGGCTGTAGGGGGTGGATAAGAGCTCCCTCTCTGATGAGTGGTGAGGGAGCGCCAGCTGGAACTGCGATGGGCTTGGGCATCATTCTTGCAGTATTCATCGGGGGAAAGAGGCCCTGGGAATATCCCCAGTGGGTAGGGGGGCAAGAGGTGGCCTTAACCCCTCCTCCAAATAAACAGCCAAGATAAATGGACATGAAATGCCAATACTAGTACCCTAGCGCACCATTTCCAAGTCCCCCCTCCTCCACTCCAGAGCCCTCAAGCCCTAGAATATCCCGGGAGAGGCCATGTGTTACCCTGGGGCTCCGGGCCCAGCCTTCTGAGGCCTGGCTCCCGCCCCAGGGCAGGAAGGCTGGGGAGTGCTCGCGTCCCGCGCTCCTGCGCTGCGTGCCCCTCACCTCTAGGCAGGGGGCGCCGCGGCCCTGGAGTGAGTGCAGGGCCAGGGGCGGGCTGTGCGGGCGCGCTCCTCCCACGCCGGTGTCAGATTTACGGAACAGAGTTCCTAGGCCAGACGCGCGGTGGGCTGACCGCCGGGTGGATTCCATCCTGCCTGACCCTGCCCGGCCTGACCCTGCCTGGGCGCGCCATGTTCGCCCGTGGGTCCAGGAGGCGCCGCTCTGGGCGTGCGGTGAGCGAGACTCGGGGCAGCGGTGGGAGGCAGGGGTAAACTGAGGCGCAGGAGAGCGGGCAGGGGATTGGGATAGGGAGGAGGTGCTCCACCGAGGATCTGGGAATCCCCATCCACAGATTCCTAGAACAGAGGGGTCAGGGCTGCTGGAAGCGTGTGGATTAAGGAAGAGAGATCTGGTGGCACCTGCTCCCTAATCACCTCTCTGCACACTTCTATCAGCACCCTCAGAGACCTGATGGGCTCCCCTCTCATGTGAATTCTGGGAGGGGATTCTGAGGGCCAAAAGACTGGATCCTAGGGTCCTGGATTGAGTAAAGACCTCCTGTGCTTCTGAGGGAAGGGACTTCCCCTGTACCTTGGCAGAAGGTGATCTTAAGGGTGAGGTCCTACACTCCTGGGGTGCCTGAATATTAAGGGTCTGGGGATTGGGATTTGGGGAACGAGGGCTACCAGGCTTCTACTTGAGCCAGGAGCTTTCTGACTTCTTAGTGGGGTAGCTCTTCCTTTGGAGGGGGTTCTTAAGTGGGGTCTGGGTTTGGTGTTCCAGAGGAGTGAATAGCCCTAGGATATGAAGGGTAAAGGCCAAGGCTTCTTGGGATCAGGATTACTGAATGGATCAGGGGCTTCCTGAGATCCTGAGGGAGGGTCTCCAACTCCTTAGGTATGAAAAGGGGAAGCCAGGGTTTTGAGGACAGGCTGTTGAGATTCAGAAAAGAGGCTTCAGGGATCCCTGGGTGGCACAGCGGTTTGGCGCCTGCCTTTGGCCCAGGGCACGATCCTGGAGACCCGGGATTGAATCCCACATCGGGCTCCCGGTGCATGGAGCCTGCTTCTCCCTCTGCCTATGTCTCTGCCTCTCTCTCTCTATCTGTGTGACTATCATAAATAAGTAAAAATTAAAAAAAAAAGAAAAGAGGGGAGGGTTCATGTTGGGGATCCCAAGTAAGGATGGGGCCTCAGACTCCTACCCTGTGGAACTGGAGTGCCTCTGGCCTCCTGGGTGGAGAAGGGGCCAGGATGAGGCCTGGGAGGAGACACCCAGTTTTGGGACTCTGTGGTCTGGTGGGGAGAGTACTCTGAGTTCTGGGGGGAGGTGTTTGAGGCCTGGAGGAGTTAGAGGCTGGTGGGATGTGTCCAAGGCTGGGTGAGGGGAAGGGAATTCCCTGAAAAACGGGTATATGGGGAGGTGGCCTCAGCTGCCCCGCCTCTACCTCAGTTGTGTCCTCCTTCCGCGCTTTTGGTGCTGTCCCAGCCTGCCCAGCGCTGCCCTGGTGGGACAGGCCCCAGCGTGTGGTTGCGGGCTTGGAGTGGAGAGGAGGGCGTTGACTTCTCTCTCCCCGCCCCCGCGCCGTGCCTGTTCCCACGTCTGCCCCCACCCACTTCAGCCTCCAGAGTTGGAGGACCCAGATCGTGGCCAGCCCTGCAACTCCTGCAGGGAGCAGTGCCCCGGCTTCCTGTTGCATGGATGGAGGTAAGTGACTATCCCAGGGCCTCGCCTTTGTCTGGGCCCCTCCCTTGGGGGGAAACCCCTAGAAGCCCTGTCCACCAGAGCAGCTCTGTTGGGGCAAGAGCCTGACTTAGATTCAGGGCCCCGCTCCCTTCTCGTTCCCAATTGTCCTGTTCCCAGGAAAGCTCCACCCACTACATAGCCCCGCCCCCCAGAAACGTTCTCTGGGCGCCACGGAGTCCCATCCCTAGGGAAATCCTCAGTCCCAGGCCCTGAGCATTGTCCACTGACATCCAGCCCTTCTCAGGCTCAGAACTCCTCTCACAGACCATGTCCTATCCTCCCACTGGAGCCCTGTATCCAGAATGTCTCATAAAATACCACAGAGTCCACAGCTGGCACATTCAGGCCCTTACATAGAGGCTCAGAGCCTCCACCTGCCCACAAGTTCAGAGCCACAGCACAGGCTAGAGCCCACCTCTAGGGATAAAGTTCCCCCCACAACATCCAAAGCCAGTCCTGAGGAGAAACCCCTAAATTTATAACTCTAATCTCAGACTCAGAGCTCCACCCCTATTCAGGCCCACCACCAGGAAAGTCTGACCTGAGTCCCAGAGGTAAAAGTCAGGGAATGGCCTTGAGACCCCCACGGCCCCACCCCCAGCTGGAGACAGCCACGCCCTCCACTCCTGTCTCACCCACAGCAGTCTTGGGCCCCCTGCCCCACCCCCCACCCCCGGGGCCTGGATCCTCATCCAGGCTCAGAATCTTTTGGTGGTGATGCTCTACGTGTCCCTCCACTCTAGCTGGACTTCCTTGGGCTGCTGCTTCCAAGTGAGCTACCACTTAATAATTGACCCCCATCCCGGCCCCCTCAGAAAGATCTGTCAGCACTGCAAATGCCCAAGGGAAGAGCATGCTGTTCATACGGTGCCTGTGGACCTGGAACGTATCATGTGTCGCCTAATCTCAGACTTCCAGCGCCACTCCATCTCTGACGATGACTCAGGCTGTGCCTCGGAGGAGTATGCCTGGGTGCCTCCTGGGCTCAAGCCAGAGCAGGTGACCAGAGGCCGCCACCCCCTCTTGTTGTCCAGTAGATGCGCGCACACCCACAGGCACACAGAGACACACACTCAGAAACCTATTTCCGGGACAACACTAGACTGAATGTACCCTTCTAACCCCTCTGTAATCCCACAGTGGTCAGCTCCCCCACAATGCTCAGGGAACAGTGAATGATCCCTGAGTCAGTCGGTCAGGCCCTGTTCACCCCACTCCTATTCTGCGCCTTAACTCTGGTCTTATCCCAGCACTTCGTGTACCACATCTCCATTAGTTGATTCTTTCAACAAATAGTTATTGAGCACCTACTGCATGTCAGACACTGCTCTAAGCACTGAGGACACAGCAGGTGGAGAAAACGCAAACAAAATAGTGGAGGGAGGGAACTGTTAGAATTGTAAATAGGGTTCCCAGGTCAGCCTCTTTGAAGATATGTTTGGGCTTTGTGAAGGAGGTAAAGAATGCCATGCAGATACCCAAGGTTAGAGCTACCCGAGCAGAAGGAGTAGCTGATGCAAATGTCCTGAGGCAAGAGTGTACTTGGCCTGCAAGAGGAATCCTTAGGAGATCGGTGCAGCTGGAGCAGAGTGAGTGACTGGGAGAGTGGGTGGAGGTGAGGTCTGGTGTGGGGTGGGCACTGAGAGGATTTTGACCTCTACTCTGAATGGAGGAGGAGCCAACAAAAGGTTGTGAGCAGAGAAGGGCTGTGGTTTGTTTTAGGATTTAACAGGCTCCCTCTAGCTGCTGGGAGGAAAATAGGCTGTAGGGGCGAGGGCTGAAGCAGGGGGCCAGTGGCTGAAGACTATGCTGGTGGTGGAAGTAGCAAGTGGTGGTCCGATTCCGGATGTTTCAAAAGCAGAGCTAAAAGGATCTGCTTGTGGGTGTGTGAGAAAGAGGAGTCAGAGATAACCTCAAGGATGGATGGATGGATGAACCAATAGTGTTCAGGCCAAGGCAGGAGCAAACTGAGTAGTAAGAGTGTAAGTCTGGTCTTGGCCATCTGGAGTTTGAGATTCCTGTTAGAGATCTGAGTGGCCATATGGCCTGGAACTCAAGGGAGACGTCACGGGGCTGGGGGTATGCATGTGTGAGGCAGGAGGCTGGGTGTGATTCCCACGGGAGTGAATGAAGAGAATCCAGAGAACCAGGGATGAGCCCTAAGGGTCCTCCCACATCTGGGGGTCAGCTAGTTGAGGAAGAACCAAAAGGGAGACAGAGAAGGAACAGCTAGTAAGGTAGGAAGAAACTGAGAAAGCCAAGGGAACAAAGTGGTTCCAGGAAGAGGGAGTGATCAACTGTGTCCAGTGCTATTGATGGGTCTATCGAATGAGGACTGAAACCTGGAAAAGGATTTTTTTTTTTTTATGATAGTCACAGAGAGAGAGAGAGAGGCAGAGACACAGGCAGAGGGAGAAGCAGGCTCCATGCACCGGGAGCCCGACGTGGGATTCAATCCCGGGTCTCCAGGATCGCGCCCTGGGCCAAAGGCAGGCGCCAAACCGCTGCGCCACCCAGGGATCCCTGGAAAAGGATTTTTAATGGTGTAGACATCGTCAATGATTTGGACAGGACAGGACGGGAAGGCTTGGGATGAGGGGCAGGGACAGAAGGTGTGGAGAAGCCCGAGTGGAGTCAGGTCTGGAGACAATGAGAGGAGAGGAAGTGGAAGCAGCCGATGCACACCACTCTTTGGTGGAACTCTGCTGTAAAAGACCAGTGGAGAGCAGCTGGAGAGAAATGTGGGGTCAAAGCAGTGTATTTGGGAGGTGATGGAAAGGATCCAGCCTGGAGGAAGGGGCGATGGAGAACGTCAGTCAACATGTCCCTTCTGATGACTTGAATATTCTCAGGGAATAGGGCCCCCATATCCCACTGCCTCCCAACTCATCCCTCGTCTCAACTGTTCTCTCCTGCCCACCCCCACCCACCCCCGCCCCGTGTCCTCCCAGGTATACCAGTTTTTCAGCTGCCTCCCAGAGGACAAGGTCCCCTATGTCAACAGTCCCGGGGAAAAATACAGGATCAAGCAGCTGCTGTATCAGCTGCCCCCACATGACAGTGAGGTAAGGAGAGAGGAGACAGGAAGGGCATGCCAGGTCCAGTTTGGGGGCCAAGGTGCACAGCCTGGGCAGATGCTAAGCAGCTGGAAAGAAATGGACAGGGTCAGAGGAGGAAAGGTAAGCTGATCCGACATGGAAGGTCTGGATAGGCAGGGACAATTGAGACATTCCTGGGCAAAACCACGACTGAGCCCCTGAGAGAAGAGGTAAGGGGTGGCAATTTCGGGCAGGAAGCACCACCTCTACAAAGGTCTAGAAGTAAACTCCTTTTGAGTGTGGATGAATTCTGGGAGTGGGGGGAGGAAGGCAGGCCTGGCAGGAGGAGCCTGGAAGACCCTCCTACCCCAGGCACAGTACTGCACAGCGCTGGAAGAGGAGGAGAAGAAAGAGCTCAGATCCTTCAGCCAGCAGCGGAAGCGGGAGAATCTGGGCCGTGGCATGGTGCGCATCTTCCCCGTGACCATCACTGGAGCCATCTGTGAGGAGGTGAGCCACGGAGGGCCCCCCATGAATGAGAGCAGTGCCTCTGCTCCGGGCCCTGGAAGGAGGAGGCGGCCTGCCACTTAAGCACTCAAGGTCTGTCTCCAGTGTTCTAACATCCCCTCACTTCCCACGCCTTAGGGCCTCCCTGGCCAGCAGGATCTGCCTATAAGGCCCCCTGGTGGACAGGGCCTGTTCCTTAGATCTCACCCTTGACTATGAGTCTGTCTCTGAGCAGACCCTAGTTGACCTTCTCTATTCATTCCCTCTACACAGTGAATGTGAGGTGTAGGCTGTCTCTCTGGTCCTCTTGTGGTCGAGACATGTCCTTAAGAGCTGACCCACAGGGGCAGGGCCTGTCTATAGGGCCCCATGGTAGGTGGAATTATCTTCATGGTCCCTCCAGGTAGGTGGAGCCCAACCCTAGATCCTCCTGTTAGGTTCTCAGTGAAGTTTGTCACTGAGGTTCCTCCACGGAGCCTGGCCTGTCTCTTCCATTTCCCCAGCTCCCTGAGGACGAAACTTGCCTTGAAGGCCACCCACAATTAGAAGGGCCTGTCTATATGGTTTCCCCCAGAAGTAGGGTCAGTCTTAGGGTACCCTCCCGTGTTTGTGGGGCCTATCTAAAAGCCCACGAGTGTAACCAGTCACAAAGGTCTGCCAGAGGAAGGCCCAAGTGTGACATGTCTTGGCTGACCCCCATCCATCTGACCATCTTGGTGGCAGTGTCTCTCTGTCACTTGGCAGTGCGGGAAACAGATTGGAGGTGGGGACATCGCGGTGTTTGCAAGTCGAGCGGGCCTGGGTGCCTGCTGGCACCCGCAGTGCTTTGTGTGCTGCACATGCCGCGAGCTGCTGGTGGACCTCATCTACTTCTATCATGCTGGCAAAGTCTACTGTGGCCGCCACCATGCCGAACGCCTGCGCCCACGCTGCCAAGCCTGTGACGAGGTTCACGCCTCTCTGCCCTGGGGATGGGAGTGGAGGGTGAGCAGGGCCAGGGGCAGGCCCTTCTGATGGCCAAGGTGGCCTGTGTGTGTGTGTCACTGTTTCCCCTCCCTCCACCCAGATCATCTTCTCCCCTGAGTGCACGGAGGCTGAGGGCCGGCACTGGCACATGGGCCACTTCTGCTGCTTTGAGTGTGAAGCATCGCTAGGAGGCCAGCGTTACGTTATGCGTCAGAGCCGCCCCCACTGCTGTGCCTGCTATGAGGCCCGCCACGCAGAGTACTGTGATGGCTGTGGGGAACACATTGGTGGGTAAACGTGAAACTGGGCTGGGGGGACAGGCAGACAGCTGGGCCATAGCACCACCCCACCAGGGTCCTCTATTATATGCCATACTTTCAATCTAGCACCAGCACCATGGCCCTATACCCTTCACTGCAAGTCCCCCACCAGTGTCCCCCATTGTGCTTGTGCTTTCTAAACCCCACCTGCACGACACTAGGCACCACTGCGCATCTAGGCCCACTTCCAGAGTTCCCTCTTTTTTTTTTTTTGAAATTACAAAGCTACTTTTAATACTTTGGGGTGAGCCCCACAGGAATAAAAAACACTGGGAAGTGGTAACCCCCTCACCCCCAGGCGTGGCCCAGGAGGAGAGAGGCTACTTAAGGGGAAGGAAGCACAAAAGGGACCCGCTGCAGACTCAGGGCAAAGGGAATGCCATTGGTGCTGGAACCTGTGAGCACTACAGGAGAAAACGCGAGCGTGATGGGACTGGCTCCAGGCACACAGGCGAAGGGCAAGAGGGTTGGACACAAAGCCACAAACATACTTGGGTTCCTCCTTCTCGTTTGCCTTTTTCTGCTTCTGCTGCATGATCTCCGAGTCCCTGGGGGTAGAGATGATGGGGCACTCTGCTTGCGGGAGGCAGCAGAAAGCCCGTCATCTCAGCTCTTTCCCTTAACCGAGTCGCTCTGCTTTTTCATATTCTTCTGGCAGGCGGGGTTCGCGCTGGTTACCGCGGGTCATGGCAACATGGCAACGGCAGCGGCTCCGGCCTGCCTCCGTTGCGTTCCCTTGTTCTGTCCGATGTTGCAGGCCCCCCAGAGTTCCCTCTAATTCCCAGGCCCTGGGGCTACCCTCTTACTCCCTCAGCCAAGGCCCAACACCCCTAGACTCCTCTTGTTCTCTAGAGATTCCTCCCTCAGCCTAGGTCCTGTCCTACCTTCTAAACCACACCCCACCCTCTAAGACCCACTCCTTTCCCACCAAGGCCCTTCGATACCTTCTAAGCCCTGCCCCCACCACCCAGGCCTCTTCTTCAGATTCACTTCCTACATTCTGTCCCCCTGAAGCCACCTCTTAATGTCCAAGCCTGACCCACATCTTAGAGTCCAATGCCCACCCCCAGTCTGGGAGGGGGCACCCTGGGAAAGAAAGAGGAGAAGACATCAACCAGTTTCCAGGAGAGAATGGATGAGGAACTTTAGGGTGAAGCCCAAACCTCGGTTTCCCTGCTTTCTCCATAGAAGGGCCCCATTCTGGAGAGTTGTGGGTGGGGAGGGCGTCTTGGGGTACCCTGCCTCAGATTCCCTTCCTCTTCCCAAGAGGGGCCCCATTCAGGACAGTTGGGGATATGCCTGATGGTTCTGACTCAGTTTTCCTTCTGTCTTTGGTCCCCACAGGCCTGGACCAGGGCCAGATGGCGTATGAGGGCCAGCACTGGCATGCATCCGACCGCTGCTTCTGCTGTAGTCGCTGTGGACGAGCCCTGCTGGGCCGCCCCTTCCTGCCACGCCGTGGTCTCATCTTCTGCTCCAGAGCCTGCAGCCTGGGGTCCGAGCCCACGAGTTCGGGGACTTCGGGGACCAGCCGCCAGAGCTGGAGTGCGGGCACAGTCTCTGCACCTCTCACAGCCTCCAAGGCCTCTTTCTCGGCTGCAGAGGAGGAGGCAGCAGAGACCGCCACCAAAGGAACTAGCACGGAGCCAGAGCCTGGTGAGCTAACCCTCAAGCCAAGTGTGGCCTCTCGGCGTCCCCCCACTCCCCCCAACCCGGACCCTCCCCTTGATTCACCCACGCCCTTCACCTTCCCCGCAGCCCTGGCCCCGCCCCCATCCCAGCCCTGGCTCCATCCCCAAGTCTCCAGCCAAATGACCTGCACTCGTAAACCCTGGCTCCACCCCCTGCTGTTAGAAGGCCTGTCCCCTGGCCTCTGGCCTCAACCTGTTCCTTCTTGAGCCCAAATTCTTCCTCCTTTCCTCCGAACCCTTGACCTTCCACCCTCCGCGCCCAGGCCCACCCCCATTCTCTGGCAAACTTGGTCAGCCTTAGTTGATGTCACCACCTCCTTACATCAGAAGCCAAGCTCTCATTACCTCACCTAGAGCCCGCCCCAGGCCTCCTTTTTCCCAAATTACCCCCACCTTGCTGCCCCTCCTTGACCCTTGCTCCCACTTTCCCAGTCCTGATGGGGTCAAGTGGAGAGAAGGCCCTTCACAGTCATCCCCTCAGGGGCAATAACAGGGAATTGTCCCATCCTTTCCAGTTGCGGGCCCTGAGGAGCCTGCCCACTTTCTCAGGGGAGCCCCCCACCGCCACTCCATGCCAGAGCTGGGTCTCCGCGGCGCCCCCGAGCCACCCCCAGGACTCCCCAGCCAGCCTGACCCACCCCTGGAAGATGGTGCCTTTGGTCGCCAGAGCACCCCCCGCGTCAGCTTCCGTGACCCTCTGGTATCCGAGGGAGGCCCGCGGCGGACCCTGAGTGCACCCCCAGCCCAGCGTCGCAGGCCACGCAGTCCCCCACCTAGGGCCCCCACCCATCGCCGTGGCATCCACCGCCGCCACCACCACCATCACCATCACCGCCGCCACTCTGGCAGACATCGCCACCACCAGTGTGACTTGGGATCGGAGTCGGACTCCGGATCTTGCTCCAGCTCGCCTTCTAGCCCCAGTTCTGAGTCCTCAGAGGAGGATGGCTTCTTCCTAGGAGAGCGCATCCCGCTGCCCCCACATCTGTGCAGGCTCAGGCCTGCTCAGGACAATGCAACTGGAACCCCCAAATCCCCATCTCCACAGCTCCCCAGGAGCTGGCGCCCAGGGATGCCTCGCCAGACCAGAGACAAGAACTGCATTGTGGCTTGAAGGCAGCGTAGTCCTGGAGGGCTCCATTGTCAAGTCAGCATAGATGATCCTGTCTCCCAACCTGAGTCATAAATCCCCTTCCTCCTTCATCTGTTTGTGTTAATGAAGTAATTTAATATTTGTTGTAAAACAGGCCTGGCTTCTTTACCTCCTTGCTCCAGCTGTCCTCCCTGACTTCCCCACTCCTGATGTTTGAGATTTATCCACATTTGATCAAAAGATTAATTTATTCATTATTACATGTTTTAACAATCTGTTTATTTATCCCTCCACAGAACCACCCCCCCACACTGAGTTTATTTGGTGCAGGTCACAGCCTGGGGCCTAGAGTCTGAAATCTGAGGCTCCCTCCTCCCCTTATTTTGTGGCTTAAGTGGGCGCATAGTCCAGGCAGAACAGTGTCTCCTGTTGGGTACTGCAGAAGGTAGGGGGACATAGGCACACCCATAAAGATGGCCACACCCAGGAGGGAGGACTGGCAGGACAGGAAGACAGATTCTCCCAATAAAGGCACTTGTACTTCAGTAAGGGGCTGGGAGTTGGCTGGGAGTGTTGTAAGGGCAGGGAGGAGTCCTTTCGATGGAAGTGTTATTTGCAGGTTTCAGAGAGAAATGGAGTTCACCTACACCGGGCCATCTGCAGGATCTGCAAGTGAGGAAAAGAGAGGAAAGCATGGGTAGGATCCATATGCCCATTTATAGACAAGTAATACTGAGGCTTATGGCACTTATTGGCACTAAGGCCATCAGTACCAATAAGGGGTATTCATGGCCTTGGGAGACTCCTTTCCTACTCTCCTCAGCACCCCAGGCAACACTCCCGCCAACACACACACTTACCAGTAGGGGCTGCTGTATGTCTTTGCTGCCGCAGGGGGAAGGTAATATAAGCATCATAGCCAAAGAGGCTTGTAGCAATTAGGCCCAGTACCTGAGAGTGGGGATGGGAGGGAGGGACGTTGGATCAGGTTGGTCAGCCTACTCAGCCTCTTGCTTTCTTGTATCTACCACCTCCAACGACTGCCCCCCATGCAGGGATGGTGACTAAAACCCCAGATTGGGAAGCCACAGAGCCCCAGGGAAAGGCCAGGAGACTGGAATCTACCCCACCCTCCCTCCGAGAACCCCTCAACACAGGATAACCACATGATGGCCCCACATGTCAGTGGCACCATTCACACTGTACATTTGAGACAAAGTTCTAGCAGATGGTAGCCTATTGTGTTGACAAAGGGGCTGTCTCTTTGTGCTTTCCACAAAGGTTCCTGTGTTGGACAAGGCATGGCCTTTTCCAGCAAAGGATGACTTTGGGAGGAGAACCAGAGCCTGGGCCAGACGTTCCCGCAGGCTCTGAGTGTGGCCTGCTATGGGTCACATACTTTCTGCCAAAAGCAGAGGCAGAACTGACCCCTGTATTCTCATTCCCCACCCTCACCCCCACCACTTTGGAGCTGCCTCTGTGGCTTTTACCCCCGCGATGATTTTGGAGTGGTTTCCTCCTTCAACAAGGACAACGATGGAGGTGATCAGGTAGAGGATGGCTGCTATGAGGGTTCGGAAGAAATCCTGTGAGGTGTGGGCAGAAGAGGGAAGTCAGCATTAAGAATTACCAGGACCGTCCCAACTGCCCAAGCCCCTCCCTAGCCTTGCCGCTTACACTCCAAGGCCAGTTGATGATCTGTATCTTGGTGTGCAGGTCACACATGTAGATGACAAAAAAGATAGCAGCAAGGATCATCTCCACCACTGACAGGGAGGAGTATCCTGGTGTGGAGGCACTGAAGCAGATCAGAATCACCAGGCACAGTATCTGGAAGAATGACAGGGGAAAGGGGGCCTCAATCAGTTCCCAGGGCTGGAGGGATTGGTTTAAATTGGAGGTCTTGGGGCACCTGGGTGACTCAGTGGTTGAGCATCTGTCTTTGGCTCAGGTCATGATCCCAGGGTCTTGGGATGGATTCCCACAGCAGGCTCCCTGCAGGGAGCCTGCTTCTCCCTCTGCCTCTGTCTCTGCGTTTCTCATGAGTAAATAAATAAAATCTTAAAAGATAAATAAATAAATTGGAAGTCTCAAACTCCAAAGATACCTACCAGGACGAGAAAGATGACAACTAATAATAGCTAAACATTTCTCGTGTGCTCGCTGTGTCCCGAATGTTGTTCTAGGAGCTGTACAAGTACTAATTTATTTAATCATCACGACAACCTAATGAGCTGGGTGCTGTTATTGGTATCTTTTTTTTTATAGAAAAGTGAGGCACAGAGAGCTTAAGTGACTTGCCCGGAGTCACCTAGCTAGTAAGGGGTAGAGTTGGGTGCCTCCGTTTCCCCCCTTTTTCCTTTTAGCACGGGGCGGGCTGCAGGGAGTGGTGCCGCCAGGTGTTTTGTGAGCACTGCTGGTGCCAGCTCCGGAGCCTTCATAGAGGCGGGACCTGCGGTTCCCTCGGCAACCCCTTTGGGAAGCGGTGAGAGTGACACCGGGAAGGGCAAGGCTCTGTTAAAGGTGTCGCACCGCTTTTACAAGTGAATCAAAGGCGGCACCCACTTTGAGGGGAGCGGGCAGCCCAGGCTCCCCAGCAGCCCGAATAGCTAACGACCTCCTGCCCCCCCACAGAAGGGCGAGGAAGAACTGGTAAAGGGCGGACCTCCCTACCCCGCAGGACCAGTGCTCAGGGCCCCACCCCAACAGGCCCCGCCCCTGGGCGCACAGCCAACCCGCCCGCCAGTGCCCAGGCCGCGCCACGCCCTGCCACGGGAGGCCCCCCACCTCCTAGCCCCGTGGGATCTCGCCCAAGAGCCCACCCACGTGTCCGCGCTGTCTCCCTCCACAGGGCTCCCCATATGAGCTATGGGCCCCTGGCGCCACCCCATAGCCCAGCGGCTCCTGATTACCTTCTCCAAATCCCAGTGGCTAGCCGTGAGTCCCCGGTTTCGGGCCTCCGCCACGACCCCACCCACCCGCGCCCACTGCGGAGCGCCTCCAGGCCTGCGCCAGCCTCACCCGGGGCCTCCCAGCTCCGCGTGGTCCGGCCACTCCACCCCACCTTTGCCCACCCGCCTATCCCGGGACGCTCACAATCTCGGCAAACAGGAGAATTCCCTTTCGGGTGCGCGAAAAGTTGGTGCAGGCGGCCCAGCAGCCGGGGGCCGAGAGGCGCTCGGAATCCGCCATGGGGTGGGCCGGAGTCCCTAGGGGCACGGAGTATCTCGTCGCTTGCTCGCGGATTCGGGGACGCTGCACACCCTGCCGTCTTACCCGCTGTCTGGCCGGGAAGGGGGCCCCCCGGGCGAAGGAGGGAGTGAATCACCTCACCGAGCAGAAGCGGGCGGGGCCGGAGGGGGCCGGGCCAGGTGGCTGCCGCCCCGGAAGCCCCTTCGCCCCGCCCGCCAAGGATACTCCCGGCCTGGCGTGGAGCCCCCGGGGAGCCCCATCTCCAGGGGCGCCCAGCTTTTGAGGCTTAGCAGTTTGGGGTACCATGCGCGGTAATGGCGAGACTTTTTGCGCCTTCAAAATAGGAATGCTTTCGATGCTGCCTCAATTCAGAACCGCGGGTATCTGGTTTTGGGGAGGAGTGTGACTTGTGACTCAGTTTCCTTAGGTGTAAAAGTGGCCGAGGCCGTGGTTAAACCCAGGTACTTTTCCAGAATTCTGAATATTTCGGATCTTAGAAAGTTGTGTATGTCTTAACACCCTTGGCGAGGTCTGAAGCAGCCCTGTTTAAAAAAAAAAATTACAACACTTCAGTCCAGGGCGTGATCCTGGAGACCTGGGATCCCCACGTCCGGCTCCCTGTATGGAGCCTGCTTCTCCCTCTGCCTGTGTCTCTGCCTCTCTCTCTTTGTGTGTCTCTCATGAATAAGTAAATAAATAAAATCTTTTTAAAAAATTACAACACCTTAATATTTATTCAAGAAAGGAAAAAAAAAAAAAAAGAAAGGAGGTGAAAGTCATTCACAATAAGTCCTATAAGCCAGAACTGAAAATTGTCTCATTACCTCAGGTTAGGTTTTGTAACCAAATGGTGCCCAACACATGGGAAAGCTTTTTCCGGAGCTTTTCTGACTTCAAATTTTCAGATAAAGGATCATGGTGGGTGGAATAAACCTCTTAGCAGTGATGGAAATGTGACTGCATTAGCACACAGGCTAAGAGAGAACAGGACTTGGTGACCATCAAGCTGCTCAGTAAATGGGGACAGACATTATTAACAGTGTCACCACCCAGGGTCTGATTCTCTGTTCTGCAGTCCTAGCCCTGGCCTTAAGTGCGGGGCCTCTGTTTCCTAGTTCTAAGGAGAGGAGCTACCAGCATAGCCCTAGATGAAGAATGGGGAAGAAGCACAGGTTTTTTTGCTGGAAGCATGGCAAGATGAGAGGAAGGCTCCTGGGGTGCCAGCCTGGGTGCAAGGCTGATGACATTTGAAGTGTGTTATCCTAAGTGAGCAATTTCTCCCAGCTCAGCCTTGATTTCTACATTTGAGACATGCACTTGGTCACAGGAATCAGGATCTCCCTGGAGATGTGCTGAGGATCACACTCTCCAGACTGGACGTTGATTTTAGTCTCATCCCATTTGAGGGAAAAGTTGTGGCTGGACAGCCAGGACAGTTAAACCCAAGGGCCTGACTGTGACGCCACACCCTCCCCCAACCTGGGGTGCCTCAAAACCAAGGAAGGGGCACCCTTTTATCATCCCAGGCTGCTGAGAGTGGTTGAGTGGCAGAAGGGATGAAGCACACTTTTCCCAGCGTTGAGAGTGTGCTTTCCAACGCCGTGGGGACATGTCTGAGTTTTTAGAACAAAATAAACTCTGCATTACCTGGAGCCTTTGCACTTGCCATTCCCATGGCTGTCAGTGTCCTTCCCCAAGCTCTTCATACATTTGGCTTCTGGTCATTTGGGTCCCGGCTCAAATGTTGTCTTCAAAGAGACCAACAGCCCACCATCATTGCTCCCACCAACATAACCTCCTTTTGAAATCTTTGTAACTCTGACCTCTCCCTGAAGTTCTTTTATTTATTCATTTTCTTTTGTCTTTTCTTTTCCAACATACTTCTACACAAGGTTAGAAATCTTTATCTTTCGTTTCACCAGCATCTTCCCAACACCTATCATGGTGCAAGGTAAACAATCAGGGCTCAATTACTCGTCAAATGCAGGTGAGATTAAAAGGATAGGCTCCAGCATCCTGCCTTGATTAAATCTTGCTTCAATGCCCCCCCCCAAGCCATTTATACTGTCTGAGCCTCACTCTCCTCCCCGTGAAATGGAGATATTAGGATTGTTGAGTAGATATGTAAGTAGATGAAAATAGATAGTGCAATAAAGCCAGTAGCAGGGGGGATCCCTGGGTGGCTCAGCGATTTAGCGCCTGCTTCTGGCCCAAGGCACGATCCTGTAGTCCCGGGATCGAGTCCCATGTCGGGCTCCCGGCATGAAGCCTGCTTTTCCCTCCTCCTGTGTCTCTGCCTCTCTCTCTCTCTCTATGTCTATCATAAATAAATAAATAAATCTTTGAAAAAAAAAGCAAATGGTGGTTGGGGTTACTATTATTAGTATCCTGGGTGTGACTGTTTATAGGGCTGGAGTGCCTTATTTCCGTAGAGCCACACCTCCAACGGGCTCTGAGTCAAGGGTAGCTGGAAGCCCCAGTACACTCCCCCACGAAGTCCACAATGCTGACCATTCAAGGGTTCACCTCTTCAGTTCTTTCTTTTTTTAAGATTTTATTTATTCATTCACGAGAGACACGGAGAAAGAGGCAGAGACACAGGCAGAGGGAGAAGCAGGCTCCATGCAGGGAGCCCGATGTGGGACTCGATCCCTGGACTCACGCCCTGGGCCGAAGGCAGGCGCTAAACCGCGGAGCCACCCAGGGATCCCCACTTCTTCAGTTTTTTATACCCCAGCTCCCAGCCGGGCTTTGCAGTCCCTCTCTCCTGAACACGTCACCCTGGAAATTCACACTCTAGTCTTTTTTAATTTGTCTCCCCTCTCTGACCCCTCCCCATAGGGGTGGGAGTTGCCCTTTCCCGCCTGACCACAGCTTCCTTCACTGGGGGGATGGGGCCAAGTGTTCAGGATGTGGTGACAAGCGGAGGTGACTGGACATTTCTGGCCTCAGCCAGTGCTTGGCTTCAGGGCTATCCCAGTTGCAGTCCTACAGGCCATATAAGCCCTGCCTTTAGGGCTCTGCTCCCAGGATGGAGGAAACTCTGTCCTCTCCCAGGACCAGGAATGCCCAGCATGTGGCGTGTGCGCACAAGCCTGGCTGCAGTTCATCACCATCTATGGAAGAGGGGGGTGCGGCTCAAAAGTTCTAACAGCCCAGCCAGCTGACTCACACCTTCCTGGCCCCACCCCAAGGGGGGCTCCAGGGCCCCAGCCCATGCCTTAAGGATGGCAGTCTATATACCATCGAAAGCTGGCCAAGCTGGCTGGAAGTGAGAGACCGCAGGCTCCTGGTGAAAGAAGCCACCCTGGTTCTAGCCTTGCTCTCTGGACCCCAGCTGGGGGTCTGGACGATTCCTGCCTGGGGCTGTGGGTGTTCAAGTGCACTCCTGCTACAAACGGCCCGCCTCTGCATTCCCCATGCCATGAGCAAAGATTATCTGTGGGCCTAGCACACCTCTAAAAAATGAAATGGATGAATGAGGAGAGATGCAGGAATTGGCGAAGAAAAGCGGAGAAGGGAAAAAGCACGCCAGGCTGAGGTTCGGGCACAAGCAGACCCTGCCGGAGGCACGGAGGAAACAGTATGAAGTAAGTTTGTCAATGGCTGCAAGAAGAGGCCCTCCTTGAAAGCAGATCTGCCCACCCCCTCCTTTGCAGGGTGAACTCAGGAGCCCCAACTGGCTTAGAGAACCTGGCAAGTCAAGACTGGGTCGAACCATTTTATTACCTCACCCACCCTTGAAACCAGAAGCGAAGCCCAGGGCTGTACCACTGACACCACAAGGAGAGCAGAGGGGAGCACCAGCAGGTCCGGCAGGTCCACTGCGCAGCAGGAGGGGGCGGGCAAGACCAGTGTAAGCTCTCCCAGCGATGCTAGTGTGCGATTGGCTGAGCACACCAGATCCAGGTTGGGCAGTACCAAGTGAGCATCGAACCATCCCATACGTGCTCAGTGCCTCCGCCTCCCAGCTGCCATCTCAAGAGCAAGCTGTGCTGCCCCTGGGATCCCTAGGGCCTGTGAAAGCTGTTCGTCACTCGGCACCAGCCAGGGTCCCGGGGAACCCGGTGTTTGGTCGTCAGGGTCTTCTGTATGGTGCTCAGGACGGGGAACCTCGGGGCAGTCGGCACCATGCTCTGGGCTAGGCTCTGTGCTGCCCCGGGTTTGGGCCATTGTACCGGATGGAGGGTGCTGAAGCCGGGAAGCACTGACGCTGGGAGACCTCATCACTTCTGGTCCACCAGGATCTGGGCTGCGATCTGGGGATGGCAGAACCACGGGTTAGATTGGCTGATAGGGTGGGGAATGGAAAGCCAAGCTCCCTGGCTGAGGGTGGCCAGGAGGCTCCAGGGGCTGCAGGAGGCAGAGACCCCACTCTTTAGAGAAATCTCCCTTTGAGGACTGGACAAACCAGTCAGGAACTGTTGCCACCCTTCAAGACGACCCCACACACCTCTTTTCTGGAGACACCTCCCCACCTAGATCCAGAACATGCCCCCCCAGAAGTAATTTCCCATAATCCCCAAATAAAAATCAAACCCTGACCTTTATTTACCTCGAGATGCCAAACCCCTCCCATTGAGGACCCCAGACTCTCCCGTTCCTTAACCCACCTCCCTCAATTCCCAGCCCTTTGCCTATGGACCCCTCAGCTTTGGAACTAGACTCCCTACCCTCTGGATCCCCATCCCGTCCTCTCCCTGCTGAGACCCACTCTTCCTTCTTATTCGAGAACCACAACTCTTCCTTCTAAACACCCACCTTTACCTCAGACCCCTTCCCAGCTCTCCTCTCCCAGGACCTCAAAAGCCTCCCCTCTAAATCTACTTTTATTCCCTCCTGGGCCCCTGCCCTTCCCCACCCTGCTTTTGAGAATACCATGACCCCTCACAGCCACTGAACTCTGACCTCCCCACTGAGACCACCAACCCTTCCCACCCTGGAACCCAACCTCTCCAATCTGCAACCCTCTTCTTCCCCTCATAGATCTGTCACTCCTCTCCATCGGGAAACCCACCATCTCCTTTCTGGGGCCCTCCCACCCCTTCAGGCTTGCCAGGATGGGTTTCCAGGGGCCTGCTTAGTACAAGGTGGAGACGGGGGCCTCCTGTGCGAATGCGCTCCACCACCTGGGCATGGGTGAGGCCCTGAATTGACTCTCCATTGATGTGGAGCACAAGGTCCCCAGCCTGCAAGAGTGCAAAGTGAGAGGTGTTATAGAAAGAACAGATGGAGAGCACCCCGACACAGGATGAGGATTGGGCTAGCACTATTGAATGGAGGGCATCTTACAACTCACTTGCAAGCGACCACAGCGCTGTGCTGGCCCATCTTTCAGCAGCCTGCGCACTACTAGCGGAGCATCTCCTGCTGAATTTCGGCCTCCACTTAATGTGAGGCCAAAGCCTGTGGAATCACAAACCAATTCCACACAGAACTGTCCAGAGGCTTGGAGCGGCTTGGAAGCAGAACGTGCCTTACCCTGAGTCACTTGGGGTGGTGCATTACCTGTACCCAAGGTCTCTGACCGATGATGCTGTAGTAAAAACACAAGTGTACATACGTTGCCAGTCTCAAAGCAGGTGGCATCTAATAGGAGGACGAGGTGGTACCTGGGGCCGGTGTTCCACGAACGTGGGATTAGGCAGGCGATTGTCTGTAACTTCTATGTCCGCAGAATCCAACACACTAACGACTGGAAGATGGAAAAGGCGGTCAGAGGGGTACTCCATGGAAACCACCTAGGACCTTGCCCCGATTTAACATTCTAGCCTCACTTCATTTCTTGCCTATAGATTGCAGTCAGGCATGCGGCCATTTAATTCGGCTCAGTGCACATCAATAACAGACCTGCACCCGAATTTTAAGTAATAATCCTGGGCCCGGCTATTGAAGGCACCTCCAGACACTCCTATAGTCCTCTAATAACACGAAGATCCCGCTCCTCATATTACACCCTTAGGTCGTCCCGGGACGGCGGCGCAAGGCCAGATTGGGCTCCTGAATTTCCCAGGCTCCGCCCTCTATTTAGCCTATAAACTTCAACCCATTCCTGACGCTTCGAATCCCGCCCCCTCGCGTTTCCATAGACTCCACCCCCCCTAGGGTGGACTCCTTTCCAGGCACGGCCCTCAGCCGACTGCCCGCCCCCAACACCCTGCAGGCCCCACCTCTTCAGAAATGCCATTCGAAGCCCCACTGACAGGAATAACCATCCAGCCTCGCACCCACGACTAACCATGCAACATTCGCCTACCGCAATAACCTTCCCTCGGTCACCTCCCGGAGAAATATTCTAGGATGACGCCAAGGCTCCGCCCCCGCGAAGCTCCCTCCGAGTCCCGCCCCGCCGCCAGCCACGCCCACTGGCCCCGCCCAGGGGAGTGAGTAACCATCCCGGGCCTGCCACTTCAGGAGCTGGCTCCACTCAGACCCCGCCCCCCGGGAGGCCCCGCCCCGCCCCTGACACGCACCCGCCTTCGGGCGCAGGCGCAATGTGGCACCTGTCCTGCGTACCAGCGCCGCCACGTCGGCCGCAGCCCGGGCCGCCAGGGGGCGCGCGTCCAGCCGCGCCAGGAGCTGCCGGGCTCTGGGGCCCGCGGGCAGGGGAGGGCCCCGGCCTGCGCGGGTGGAAAGAACATGTCAGCGCCCGCCCGAGCCTCGGCGAACCCCCTACGCTCCACGACGTCCGAAGACCTAGAATGCCCGTAAGATCTTCCGAGCCCCCCGACCATTCCCTCATAGTTCCGGAGGTCGCCCGCTGCCCGTCTCGACTCCCGCGACCCCCGACCGTCATGGGAATGCCCGTAGTTCCCCGCCTGCCCCCACGAAATCCCTGGACATAGCTAGCTGATCGAAATATTCCTGGACACTTCCCGACACTCTGGGACTATCTCTGCAGGGCTCCGACCGCCCCCACATAACCCCAGATTCCAAACTCTTCCCGCACGGTAGCCAGAGGGACCCCGATTCCGCCAGATGTCCTGAAAGAAGACGGCCTGCCCCCGCTGTGGCCCCGGCACCCCCCGATTCCCCTTCCGGATATCCTAGGCGACCTTGATGGTCCACGTAGCTCCAGTTGCCCCTCCATTTATCCCCTGAGTGCCCCGGTGTCCCCAGTGGCCCCGGGCAGACCCCTCTGGCACATCTCCCCGGGATTCCTGAGAGCCAGCCCCCGGGTCTGGGGCGCAGCCCCACGGTGCGGGTGCGGGTGCGGGTGCGGGTGCAGGTCCAGGACCCGGAGCCCAACCCGGGTCACCGCTTGGGCGCCAGGGCTGCTTTGTTTACCACCTGTCGCAAGGAAAAGGTGAGGAGCAGACAGACGGGCGGGGCGAGGGGTGGCAAGGACGCGCCCAGTCCCTCCCCTCCCCACCCCACCCCCGTACCTCCTCTGCTCCCCTTAGGGTCCGTGGCGTCCCCTGCGCGTGGCTCCATCACCCGAAGTCGGCAGGGTGGACGCAAGGCCGCCGGCGACGCGTTTTGAGCGCCTGGGCGCGCTCACCTGGCGGCCCGCCCAGGCCTGGATGCAGCTGGGGCCGGCCGGTCCCGTGCCCGGCGCCCCGACCCGCGCGCGGTGACCTACCTGGCCGCCAGCGAGGAGGCCTGGCTGTGGGAGGCAGCGCGAGCGCTTGGCCTCGCTCGGCCTCAGGCGCCGCCTCTGTTATCCCAGGAGCCTGAGCTGGGCTCCTCTTTCCACCCAGGACGTGCTGTCAGTCCAGGAGCGAGAAGGAGACGTCGAGGCCCAAAGAATTCTGTTAAGGGCCTTGCCCGAGCTCTGACGACTAAACACGGGGGTGCAGAAGTGGGGCCCAACTTACCAGGGAACTCTGCGGCCTCCAGCGGAGCTTGGCTCCTAGTAGGGCACTGAGTAAACTTGCAGGGGATGTTTCCTACTTGGGAATTGGAAGAGTCTGTTGGGCTGGGCAGGGGGGAGCCCTTGGAGCCTTGGGGGCCATGGGGGGGTTTGGGGCCTTGAGCATGATAGCGTTGGGGAACTCAAAAAGCCGGGAAGGGCAGGTGCCCTGGACACTGGAGTGGCGGTAGGGGGCCGCCGAACCTGAGGAGGTTGGGAAGGGCCCCGGGGTGGGAGGGGACGCCAGCCAGTGAGAGGGGAGAAATCAGATCCCGCTTAGGTATTAAAACTGGGGGTGTCCCGAAGGCAGAGGTCCCCGAGGGAGGAGCCCTTGGGCAAGGGCTCCTCACTGTAGTGGAAGGAAAAATGGGGGAAGGAAAAATGTAGTCTTTATCTGCTAGGTCTTTTTTTTTTAAAGGTTTTTTTTTTAAGATTTTATTTATTCATAGACACAGAGAGAGAGAGAGGCAGAGACACAGGCAGAGGGAGAAGCAGGCTCCATGCAGGGAGCCCGATGTGGGACTCGATCCTGGGTCTCCAGGATCACACCCCAGGCTGCAGGCAGCTCCAAACCGCTGCACCACCAGGGTGTCTTTAAGGATGCCCAGGGCTTCTAAGCCTAGAAAAATGGCCATGAGATTGATTACTGTTGTGGAGGCCGAGACAAATTAAGGCCATCCCACCTAAAGTTTAGCATTAGCACAAGTACAGCCATTTTAGGCCCCTGTGAATAAGAGCTGAACTTTTACGGGGAAAAACTGCAGAATGTCCTCAATGTCCTCGGCAGGTAATCCCATATCAGAAAGACAACAGAGCTCAGAATTGCCCTCGGCAGAGAATCCCATATCAGAAAGAGCCCACGGCCATGGTAGAAAATCCCCTAGACCAGCCTAATTCTTCCATCCCTTCTGGAAATCCCCTAGACCAGCCTATAAAAAACCCAGCTGTAACCCACTTCGGGGTCCAAGTCCCTGCTCCACTGTGTCGGGTATACTTGGACCCAAGCTCGAGCTTGTAAATAAACCCTCGTGTGTTTGCATCGGTGTCGACTCCTCGGTGGTTTCTCGGATTCGCAATCTTGGGCAGAACACTGTTTCCTGGTCACATCCTGTGACCCATCATCATATTATTCTACTTTCTGAACATTGTGATTATGTCCCACTTTCTTTTTTAATTTTTTAATTTTTTTCCACTTTAAGTATATTTACAGCTTCATATTTAAAGTTTCTAGTATATGTGTTCCATCCAAGGAATGTGCTATAATTCATTTGCCCAATCCCCTCCTGTTGTTCTTCAATCTTTGGCTACAATAAAAGATACTATGATGAATCTCATGTAAAAATCTGTTTGGGGTGCTGGGGTGGATTAGTTAAGTGGCTGACTCTTGATTTCAGCTCAGGTCATGATCTGGGGGTTGTGGGATGGAGCCCCATGTTGGGCTCCCCAACCAGTGGAGAGTCTGCTTGTCATTCTCTCCCTCTAACCTTCCCCCCCACCTCTCTAAAATAAATAAATATTTAAAAATATATTTTCATGGGCGTTTGGCTGGCTCATTCAGGAGCATGTGACCCTTGATCTCAGGGTGGTGAGTTCAAGCCCCATGTTGGATATAGATTACTTTGGTTTTTTTAAAGACTTTTTTAATTTTTAAAGATTAATTAATTTATTTATAGTGCACAGGCTGGGGGAAGGGCTGAGGGAGAGAGAGACCTAAGCAGACTGTGCTGAGTGTGGAGCCCATGCAGAGCTTGATCTCACAACCCTGAGATCATGACCAGAGCAGCAATCAAGAGCCAGTGCTCAAATGACTGAGCAACCCAGGTGACCCTAAAGATTTTTATTTTTTAAAAAGATTTTATTCATTTATTCATGAGAGACACAGAAAGAGGGGCAGAGACAGAGGCAGAGGGAGAAGCAGGCTCCATGCAGGGAGCCCAATGTGAGACTTGATTCCCAGACTGCAGGATCATGCCCTGAGCTGAAGGCAGATGCTCAACCGCTAAGCCACCCAGGTGTCCCAAGATTTTATTTTTTTAAGTAATCTCTACACCCAACATGGGCCTGGAACTCACCACCCTGATATCAAGAGTCACATGGTCCTCCAGCTGAGCCAGCCAGGTGCCTGTGTTGTGCCCAAGATTGCGAATCCGAGAAACCACCAAGGAGCCGACACTGATGCAAACACACGAGGGTTTATTAGCAAGCTCGAGCTTGGGTCCAAGTATACCCGACACAGCGGAGCAGGGACTTAGACCCCGAGGTGGGTTTCAGCTTAGTTTTAAGGGCTTGTCTAGGGGATTTTCTGAAGGGGTGGAGGAATTTCTCAAGTTCTGTTTACATTCTGATATGGGGCTTTCAAGGGCATTGAGCTCTGTTCTCATTCTAATATGGGACTTTCTACCACGGGCATGGGCTCTATTGTCTTTCTGATATGGGATTCCCTGCGAGGACATGGGGACATTCTGCAGTTTTTCCTATAAAGTTCAGCTCTTATTCACAGGGGCCTAAGATGGCTGTACTTGTGCTAATGTTAAACTTGAGGTGGAATGGCCTCGATTTTTCTCGGCCTCCACACCTGGGTATAGAGATTTCCTTTTTATTTTTTTCTAAAGATTTTATTTATTTATTCATTAGAGACACAAAGAGAAGAGAGAGAGAGAGGCAGAGACACAGGCAGAGGGAGAAACAGGCTCCACGCAGGGAGCCCGATGTGGTTCTCAATCCGGGGACTCCAGGATCACGCCCTGGGCCAAAGGCAAGCGCTAAACCGCTGAGCCACCCAGGGATCCCCTATAGAGATTTCTCAAATAAACTTAAAAAATCTTTTTGCATATCTTTTTTTTAAGATTTCATTTATTTATTCATGAGAGAGACAGAGACAGAGAGAGAGGCAGAGACACAGGCAGAGGGAGAAGCAGGCTCCATGCAGGGAGCCTGTGGGACTAGATCCTGGGTCTCCAGGATCACACCCTAGGCCCAAGGCAACACTAAACTGCTGAGCTGGGCAGCCCTGGTGGCCCAGCGGTTTGGCGCCGCCTTCAGCCCAGGGCATGATCCTGGAGCCCCATGAGCCCCATGATCAAGTCCCACGTCGGGCTCCCTGCGTGGAGCCTGCTTCTCCCTCTGCCTGTGTCTCTGCCTCTCTCTGTATCTCTCATGAATAAGTAAATAAAATCTTTAAAAAAAAAACTGCTGAGGCACCGGGCTGCCCTCTTTTTGCATATCTTTAATGATTTCCTTGGGACGAATTTTTGGCAGATTTTTATTATTCTTTCTGGTGACTATTTAAGTATCAGTCTTCTATTTTCCAAACTCTTAATGATGTAGGCAGGCTGGGTCTGAGGATCCAGAGGTGATCCCAGGACCAGCCAAGAGGGTCCTTGGTTTCACACAGGATAGCAATCAAATGTGAGCCAAGAGAAAGTAAAAGCAGAGTTTATTGAAGATATAGAGTGAGCGTAGTTACAGAGTGTCTGGAAGACTCAGAAAGGAAAGGACAGTGTCTTGTTTTTGCTTGGGTCTGAGGCTTTTATTGAGGATTGTGGTGTGATGTAAGTGTCCTCTCAGGCACCCTGGAACTGGTCAGAATAAGAAGGGTCCAGATGTCCTCCATAAGTTACTAATTCCTTGGAGCTAGGGGGGCTTGGCATCAAGATGTCTAGCTCCAGTGGTCTGGAATATACACATGATGGCCTCACCTAGTCATTCCTTAGAAGTTATGTATTATGCTGGAAGACCACAAAGAAATTATTAGCTATTTGATCCATACAAGGAGAACATACATTATTTGTACTATAAGGAATGTGTAAAGGGGTGTGCTGGTCCTAGCAAGAATAGAAGCAGGAAAAGGGGCAAAAAAGCAGTCCTTCAAAAAACAGCCCTTCATGGGGCCCTTTCATTTTCCCTCTTTATGGTCCTAGACAAGAGGAATTTGTCTCATTAATCTTTCAAAACCTTAGAACATAGTTCTCACAACATATTTAATGTTGGTAGTATAAGCAGAAATAGTTAGGGATCCCTGGAAAAAGAAAGGTGAGGCAAAGCTTTCTCAACATAAGAAAAGTCATTTGGGGCCCCTGATCATCTTGTAATCTATGCCTGACCAGCACTACTTACCCAAAGCACATTTCTTGCAGAACATCCTGAGATGTGTTGAAATTGCATAAGAATAAACATCAGCAGATAAGGATTTGAAGAAAACAAAAGAATGTGAGAACAAACAGGCACTATCAGGCCAGGAGACAACCTAAGCCTATCAAAGACAATAAATCGGTGGTAAAACTCCCAATGCTGATTCAAAAGTAAAGATTGACCTAACACATATTCTGAGTCATCTTTGCAGAACTTAAGCCCCTTTGAGCACTCAAATACTGGACCCACTGGAGCCAGAGAATTGATGATGCTGACCCTTGCCAACTCTCATGACTTCAATTAACTTAAGACCTAGACTCAGTGACTTAGGGTGACTTTTGCCCCAATTCCATGCTGAATTCCCTATTTTGCAAGCCCTTCCACGAATATATATGGACCTTTAGTTTAAAATTTTCCCACTTTTGTTGTTGAGGGAGATAGTGCTTTGGGAAATATCCTCAGTGTTCTTCTTCACTTGTTGCAAGTAAACCCTACCTTTTCCTTCCTGTTCTTTGCTTGGATGTATGTTTTGGCTCCATATCCACCAAGAGGTGGACATAGTTTTGAGTAACAGTAGGAACTCCAGTAGACCCTTGAACAACATGGCTTTGAACTGCACGGGTCCATTTATACCAGGATTTTCTCCAGTAAATACATTAGAGTACTATAAATGTATTTTCTCTTCCTTATAATTTTCTTTATTAAAAAACATTCTATTGGGACGCCTGGGTGGCTCAGCGGTTGAGTGTCTGACTTCCACTCAGAGTGTAATCCTGGGGTCCGGGGATCGAGTCCCACATTGGGCACCCTGTGAGGAGCCTGCTTCTCCCTCTGCTTCTCTGTGTGTGTCTCTCATGAATAAATAAATAAAATATTTAAAATATTTATTTATTTATTTATTTATTTATTTATTTGAGAGAGAGAGAGAGAGAGAGAGAGAACATGAGTGGGGGAACAGGGAGAGGGAGAAGCGGACTCCTCACTGAGCAGGGAGCTCAACACGGGGCTCCATCCAAGGAACCTCAGATCATGACCTAAGCCAAAGGCAGACACTTAACTGAGCCACTCAGGTACCCCCTTATGATTTTCTTTTTCTTTTTTTAAGATTTTATTTATTTATTCATGAGAGACACAGAGAAAGATGCAGAGACACAGGAAGAGGGAGAAGCAGGCTCCATGGAGGGAGCCCGACATGGGACTCAATCCTGGGTCTCCAGGATCACGCCCTGGGCCGAAGGCAGGCGCTAAACCACTGAGCCACCCAGGGATCCCCCCACTTATGATTTTCTTTTTTTTTTTTTTTTTTTTAATAATATTTTTATTTTTTTTTATTTATGATAGTCGCAGAGAGAGAGAGAGAGAGAGGCGGAGACACAGGCAGAGGGAGAAGCAGGCTTCATGCACTGGGAGCCTGACGTGGGATTCGATCCCGGGTCTCCAGGACCGCGCCCTGGGCCAAAGGCAGGCGCCAAACCGCTGCGCCACCCAGGGATCCCCTACTTATGATTTTCTTAATAACATTTTCATTTTCTTCTTAGATTATTCTTAAGAATACTGTATACATAAAAAATAAAATAATAAAAAAATAAAATAAAAATAAAAAAGAATACTGTATACAAAAGAATACAGTGTATGATACATGTAACATACAAAAGGCCTGGGTGGCTCAGTTGGTTAAGTGCAGACTCTTGATCTTAGATCGGGTCTTGATCTCAGGGTTGTGAGTTCAGGCTCTTCCCTGGGCTCCACGTTGGGTGTGGAGCCTACTTAAAAACAAAACAAAACAAAAAGCCCCTAAAAACAACAGAAAAATAATACTACATGTAACAAACAACATATGTGTTAATCTACTGTTTGTGTTATCATTAGGTTTCCAGTCAACAGTAGGGTGTTAGTAAGTAAGTTTGTGAGGAGTCAAAAGTTACCAGCAAATTTTCAACTGTGGGGACAGGGTATTGGCCCTCCTAACCCCTGCATTGTTCAAGAGTCAACTGTGTGTGTGTGTATATATATATATATGTTTTCTAAGATTTTATTTATTCATGAGAGACACAGAGAGAGAGAGAGAGAGGCAGAGACACAGGCAGAGGGAGAAGCAGGCTCCATGCAGAGCGCTCAACATGGGACTCGATCCCGGGTCTCCAGGATCACGCTCCGGGCCCAAGGCGGCGCTAAACCGCTGAGCCACCCGGGCTGCCCTACATATATTTTTAATATCTGTTCAAGTGTTATTGTTCCCAACCGGACTACCAGCCTCTAGAAAGGAGGCTGTCTATTTTATTAAAATTTGAATTTTATTAGAATTTATTAAAATTTGAATCCAGATCTAGTTGTGTGTTAAATCTGACATCGGTAGGCAACATTTACATGTCTATTTTTTTCTTTTTTTTAAATTTTTATTTATTTATGATAGTCACACAGAGAGAGAGAGAGAGAGGCAGAGACACAGGCAGAGGGAGAAGCAGGCTCCATGCACCGGGAGCCCGATGTGGGATTCGATCCGGGGTCTCCAGGATCGCGCCCTGGGCCAAAGGCAGGCGCCAAACCGCTGTGCCACCCAGGGATCCCACATGTCTATTTGTTATTGTGCACAGCTGGCACTCACAGATTTTTTTTCTTAAGGATGTATTTTATCTACACTTCCATTCCCCCTGTGTAATGTGCACACAGTAAGCAACTAATAAATACTTGTCGACTGCCTATAGGAAGGAATGAACACACCAGGCAAGAATGAATTCAACTCTGCCACACCTACCTCACCGAAGAACTACATTTCCCTTTATGCTTGGCGTGACGCGCTCCTATGAAGGAAAAAGCAAGAGTTACTTCCGAAAGCCCCTTTTTCCTCCTACGCCTGCCGATGGCGCAGTGTTTTATGGGAAAGGTAGTTCTAGCGCTCTTCCTCTGGCCACCTTCAAACTGAACCTAAACTAAACTTCCCAGCAAGCAGCGCACTCGCCTGGGAAAGAGGGGCAAGATGGCGGATGCCGAGGAGTATCCTTTGCGGCTGGCTGGATCCTCCGCTGCCCCAATTTCGTTCAGTTTCAGTCGTACAACCGCCCGGAGACGGCTGGCGGACCCGGTAGACGACGCGGGTGCGGCTCCAGAGGAGAAGGATTTCTTGAAGACCGTGGAAGGGAGGGAGCTGCAAAGGTGAAGCGCCGGGTCTTTCATCCCTTGCAATTCGGTTTGGTGGGTGCAATGGGAGGGTGGAATCTGAGTTGATTGTTTAGGTGGCAGTGGCCTGGAAAGCACAGCCTGAGGAAATTCGTGGAGGCGAGAAGGCGGGAGTGTGTGACTGGAGAGGTGGAGAAATTGGGCCTAAAAGCCATGGCGTTTGAGAAAAAAGGATGTATTCCTGAGAGGGTGTGTCTAGAATTTGGGGACCCTGAAGTGTGTGCGTTCTGAGAGAGGGAAAGGAGTGAAGAATGACAGGACCGCTAGGGTCTCAGCTGAAGCGGTGGAGCTTCTCTAGTGTGGGGAACGGGGTGGATTGGCAGATTCAGGTTTGGGGAGGCCATCATCAGGTTAATTTGGAAAAGACAGTCAGAGAGTGAGACTTCCAGAAGAGAATCAACCATCCAGGAGGTTGATGGGGAGCCTGGAACTGGGGAGAATCTGGGCTGAGGATGGTGATTTGTGAGTCATTGTGAAGGCCATGGAAGTGGGTGTTGGGATGAGCAGAGGGTCCAAGACTGAAGGCTGATTCCTTAAAGGCACTGACATTTAAGAGTTGGGGGTGAGGGAGAGAATCCAAAGAAAGCACCATTAGAGACTCACAGGAGAACAGAGGGTGTGGTCAGATGGGGGGGGTGAGTTTGGCTCTTGTGTTTTCTCTGAAGGGAGGAGTGTGGCTCAGAACCCACTGACATGCTACTCTCCCAACTTCATGCTTCTGTGTCCACATCAGTGTGAAGCCCTCAGAAACCCCCAAGGATCTCATCATCCCTTTGATCCAGAATGGCCATCGCAGGCAGCCACCAACCCAAGCTCCTGGGCCATCCACAAATACTGAGGCCTTGATGGATGGAGTGCTGTCCCAGGCTGTGAAGGAGCTCATTGAGGGTGAGTGATCCCCTCTTCACCATCCCCCTGTGAAGGAAGTGGGGGAGGAAAATGGAAGGATAGGGTGGGACCTCATTGCTCCCTCCCATTCTTCCTTAGACTCCAAGAAGTCCCTGGAGGAGAGAGAGAATTCGGGTGTCGACCCCACGCTTGCTATCCCCATGATCCAGAAAGGATGCATTCCTAACGGGGAAGGGGCAGACAGCGAACCCCGGGCTGAGACAGTGAGCTGGCCCCTAATTCCTCCTGCCCTAGCCTCCCTTTACCCTGTCTGCCAGACTTGCCTCTTTGCATACAGTGGGGCGGGGGGTACAGTCTGTGTGCGTGCTACAGGCCTGCTGCCTATCCCTTCCTCCTTCTGTCTTTTTTGGGAAGCATTAGCAAATGAATCAAGATACTGAGGTGTGGAAAACACTTGCATTCTGGGATTATCTGAACAAGATGAGGGGCAAAGGGAACAGGAAATGCAAAGATCCTAAGGGTAGACTCAGCCTGGAGTGTTTGAGGAACATCAAGGAGACCAGTGTAGCTGGAGTATAATGGATGAAGGGGAGGAGAAGAATATGAAGTCAGAAGTGGCAGGGGCTAAACTAAGCAGAGCCTTGTGGACCATGGTGAGGACTTTGGCTTTTATCCTGAATGAAATGAGAGCCATGAGAGGGTTCTGAGCAGAGAGGGGTCAGAACTTAAGATTTGACAAGATCTCTGGCTAGTGTGAGCAGAACAGAATAGTAAGCAAAGAGAACAGTAGTGCAGGCTAGAAATGATGGCCAGTCAGACCAGAGTGGTAGGAGTGAGGTCTGGAAGGACAGGTAGGGTTTAGTGAGTGAGAGAAGAGCAGGGTGAGTACTAATGGCAGCAACAACCCCAAGCAGTGGCATGGTGGCAGGGAGTCAATGTGGTGTGGGTCCCTCAGTGAAGCAGCCCGCCGTGTGTCTAGAGTGAGTATAAGGAATTGAGAGAGGAGGGAAGAAAAGAATTGAGGGAGTGAGGATGGAATGTGATAGACAACAGAAGTGAGGGGAGTGTCTACAGAAGCAACCAAGTCTGTCTTTTATACCCATGGACTCCACTCTTCACCTCTTTATTCACAATGTTTTAGCAATGCTTCTTTGGGGCCTAGTTCTCCTACAGCCCCAGACCATCCTCTCTTTCAACTGAGCTCTTCTTGTTGGCCTTCATCTGTCTTCTGGCTTCTTTAATCATAAAAAAAGACCTTCACTTCACTTTCCATCCTGTTCCTTCTTTGGCCTCAGTTCTCTCATATTCTCTCCTTCTCCAGCCTTTTACATCTCAGCTGATCACAGCTCCACCCCATCCTTCTTCTCACTTGGCCTAAAAACCTTAGAGTCTCTCTTGACTTCCCTCTTTATTTCATACCCCATATGCAGTCTTTCAGCAAAATCCTGTCATCTCCCTTTGCAGTATACATCCAGAATTTGATCACTTCTCACCATCACCACTCCTACCACTCTTCTGAGCTACCAGCATCTCTCATCTGGATTATTGCAGTAACTTCCTCACTGGGACCCCTTGTGGAAGCCACCCTCCTGTGGCTCCAGCCCAGATCTCCTGATTAATCTTTCACTGCCCCTCTGCCTCCACCTCTTTCTCAGTCAGGTTGACCTTCATGATGCTCTTACCACATGCCAGACTTGTTCTGCCACAGGGCCTTTGCTCTTACTGTTCTCTCTGCTTGGACTACCCACCTATCCTTCATGCTTCTCATATCGTTATGGCCCCCACTGTCATCTCTTTCTGGTCTCTGCTCAGATATCAACTCCGTGATACTCTCTTCTGCATCCCTCTGCATCCCCTTAATCTGCCTCATTTTTCTTCATATAACTTATCACTACCCGACATGCCACGTTTTATGTATTTTTATATGTATTTTTTAAATTGTATGTCTACAACTAGAATGTCATCCCCACAGGGCAGGATCAGGGATTTTTGTCTGTTTTGGTTATCCTCATCACCTAGGTCAGTACCTGGCACAGAATAGGTGCTTTATAATTATTTGTTGAAGGACAACATGGATGAGTAAAGTGAGAGACAGCAAGAGGAAATCAAAACTAACCTTGAGCTTACTGGAAAAGCACTAAGGGTCACTCATTGGGTAAGCAGGCTTCAGAGGGCCCACCACGGGCCAAGCCTGACTGTCCTTCCTTTGCCTGAATTTGTAGGTGCCAGAAGAAGCTGATTACGAGGCAGTCCCCGTAGAGGCCTATGGGCTGGCCATGTTACGAGGCATGGGCTGGAAGCCTGGTGAGGGCATTGGCCGCACCTTCAATCTGTGAGTTCTGGGGTGGGGGCAAGGGGCAGCAGACAGGGCAGTGAACAAGACCCCCGTGGGTTACTGCTCATCCGGAACCAGAAGCTTGCTGCAACTGTTTCAGTCTCCTGTTTGCTCTTTGTTTGTTTGTTTGTTTTTTAAGATTCATTTATTTATTCTGAGAGACACAGAGAACGAGGCAGAGACATAGGCAGAGGGAGCAGAAGTAGGCTTCATGCAGGGAGCCCGATGCGGGACTCGATCCTGGATCCCAGGACCACGCCCTGAGCTGAAGGCAGATGCTCAACCGCTGAGCCACACAGGCATCCCTCCTGTTTGCTCTTTGAAACTCTGTAACGGGATCCCTTCTGTACGGGGTTACCTTTCTGAGCATTAGCTTCCTCATCTGAAAAATGAGGATAGTGACAATACTGACTTCCCATATCTGTTGCAGAATTACATGAAATTATGTACATAAAGCACTTATAGCAGGCCCTGGCCCAAAATAAACATAGATGAAACATTTGCTATTTGCTATTATCACACAGACTTTTGATCCCTTCTCAGTTTTCTGAACTCCAAAGAATTCTGAAAACCAAACATTTTTTCATAAACCATTTAGTAGCCACACATGACCTGAATTGACACAGAGCATTTTATAGTCTGTTTCTCCTACTTGGTGTGAATATTTGTATGATTTCCCCTGTAGAAATATTAGGGTATTGTAATAAAAATCACAGAGATCTGCCTCAGATCCTGCTGTAAATAATATGTAATAGATGGTATACCCAGTGTGTTATTAGGTTGGACCAAATGAAATTGCTTTTCTGTAGATCAAAAACAGTCCTGGGATCCCTGGGTGGCTCAGTGGTTTAGCGCCTGCCTTCAGCCCGGGGTGTGATCCTGGAGACCCAGGATAGAGTCCCATGTTGGGCTCCTTGCATAGAGCCTGCTTCTCCCTCTGTCTGTGTCTCTGCCTCTCTTGCTCTCTCTCTGTCTCTCATGAATAAAATAAAATCTTAAAAAAAAAAACAGTCCTAATGTGAGATCGGGAAGGATATTCTTGAGCATGTTGATGGGGTGGGATTTGGGTGGCGGTAGGGGGACACTGAAGACTTGCATTCCTCCCCTCCCCAGCCCAATAAGCTCACATACTGTGTTGCCTGCAGAGTGGTGAAGCCCCGTCTCAACTTACTGAGGCCGAAGGGGTTAGGGCTGGGTGCCAACCTGAATGAGGTCCAGGCCCTAGTCCCCACTGGCCCCCACCACCTGCCAAAGCCAGATGAAGAGCAAGAGAAGGCTAAGGAAGACCAGCCTCAAGGACTGGTGCCTGGAGGAGCTGTGGTGGTTCTTTCTGGCCCTCACCGAGGCCTCTATGGGAAGGTAAGGAACCAAGCTATGCCTAGAGCCCAAGACAGGCAGCAGGGAAGTATGATGTGAGGGTCAGAGGGAGGAAGAATTGGGCTTAGGGTGGAAAGGCTGGAAGTCCTTATCTTTCAGGCCTGCCTGGCTTGCTACCTCATTTGGTAACTCAGAACCACTTGCTGGGCCTTTCTGAGTCTCAGTTTCCAACTAAAAGAGAGAATGGCCATATGTGCCAAATGTTCCTGAGGCTTAAGTTCTTTAAAATATATCCAAGCCACACAGTCTGGTAGGGGAGAAACATGAGCCAGGCCCAGGCCCAGGCCTTGGGTCAGTCTGGTGGGGGAGACACAGGGGTCAGGCTTATAGGAGGTAAGAGTGGACAGTTCGGTCCTAGGAATGTGAGTTTAGTCCACTCAGACCCTGCCTAACTTCATCCTCCCCAACGCTTCAGGTAGAAGGCCTCGATCCTGACAATGTTCGGGCCATGGTTCGCCTGGCCGTGGGGAACCGCATGGTTACTGTTAGTGAGTACTGCCTGCGCCCTGTCTCCCAGCATGAGTTTGACAAGAACACCTTGGATCTCAGTGAGTGTGCCTCTTACCTAGCTGGGAGAGTTGGAGAAACATTCCAGGGGGCAGTAGGGGCCTGTCCCTGGGGGTGAGGCTGGGTGGGTGTCAGATCTGCAGAGGGGAGGGGCAGTGGTCTGTCAGGCAGATGTGACTTCTGGTCAGAATCCAGGAGGTGAGAATGAAGATCAGTGGTTTATTTGGTTTGAAGAAAAACTGATCTAGTAACCCTGGGGCTTTAGCCTCTCGGAGGAAAAAAAGGTGTGGAAACCTATTCCTATCCTCAGGAGGTCTCTGTCTGTTCCAGGTGATGAGCCTCTCTTCTTCTGGGTGTGAGGGCAGCCGGGACTAGGCCATGCCCAAGGAGAAAGGCATTCTAGGCATGGCAGCAGGATGGGGCGGTTTGACAGATGAGATATTGGTGCTGATGGAGCTCTCAGGATTCCCTAGCCCACCTCGGAGTGGCTGAGGAAGCCTTCCTGAAGGAAGCCCCAGCAGTTGAGGGGAAGGGGAGAGCATTCAGATGGCATAGGCAAAGTTGTGATGGTGGGAGGGGACATTGAGGCAGGTGGGAGGTGGCCTGAGGCCAAGGTGTAGCCTGCCAGGTAAGAAAATGGCACACTGAGGCTCCTTCCTGGTTCTCCCCACACACCCTTGTACAGGCCAGATGAACAAAACTTCCCCAGGGCAACAGAATGGAACAGCCTCATCATGGAAGGCCCTCCGGGATCAGGACCCCCCCAGCTGGCGGGAGGACTCCGAGAGGAAGCGGAAACACCTTCCCGACCGGTGGGACCCTGGGCATCTGGGGTTGGGGGAGAAGGCAAGGCTGTGGAGGGATTCTAGCAGTCAGAGAAGGCTTCCCGGGCAAGGCAGGCACATAGAAGGAACTAGGGATGACATCAGGGCATCAGGGGTGGGTTTCACAGCAGCCAACTGTGGGGTGACCAGAACATGTGTCTCATCAGCTAAGCCTGTGTTGGCCTTTTCCTCAGACAGGGGGAGCCCGCAGCCAAGAATGAGAAGGCAGGTCCCCAGAGCCAGCACTGGTTGCACAGGGACCTGCGTGTGCGCTTTGTGGACAGGCAGCACAAAGGTGGCCAGTATTACAACACCAAGGTGGGAACCCTGCAGCCTGGCTTCCCCCCGCCCCCCCCCCGGAACTAGGCCCCCATAATTGTAACACTCTCACATCCCATGACCCTTTCTCCAGATGACCATTGAAGATGTCCTCAGCCCAGATACCTGTGTGTGTCGAACAGATGAAGGCCGGATCCTGGAAGGTGAGTCTGAGGGATGGCCACTGGGGTGTTAATCATCCACCCTGGAGGCTGAACAGGAAGGCTGTCTTCGACCCAAGAGGCTGGTGCAGGCAAAGGCTGGAAGGTTAGGCAGAGTTCAGGCATTTTGCACAGCCCAGAATCTTTTGACAGAATACGAGGCACTTCTGTGATGGTGATTATCTAAGCTGCTCTTTCCCCCTGTGCACACTGGCATAGAAATGAGCTATTTCTCCCTCTGGGGACTGGGCCTTGTACAGATGTGTACTGAACTCCCCGTGCAGGGCAGGGCATATGACGTGCGCACAATAAACGATATCTGTTGTCATCACCCATCATCTTTGTGCATAAGTGCTCCTATTTCATAGTTCTTTCTTCTTTTTTTTCCAAGATTTTATTTATTTATTTGACAGAGAGAGAGCATACACACAAGCCCGGGGAGTGGCAGGGAGAGGGAGAACCAGACTCCCTGCCAAACAGGGAGCCTGATGTGGGACTTGATCCCAAGACCCTGGGATCATCACCTGAGCCGAAGGCAGACGCTTAACTGACTAAGCCACCTGGTGCCCTATTATAGTTATTTCTAGGAACTGCTCCTTAGGTGTCCTCACCTGTGAGCTGGAGTGGGGCAGGGGGACTCCCACCTGTCAACAGGGTGAAGGATGGCTCTGAGGCATACAGGAAAGGCCTTCTGACAGGACCTGGGTGGGCTGGCCCTGGCCATGGGCCTCACTCCCCTTTCCTCATCTGCAGGCCTGAAGGAAAACATGCTGGAGACCCTGGTCCCCAAGGTCGAAGGCAACCGGGTGATGGTGGTGCTGGGGCCACAGGCTGGAAGGGTGAGTTCTAGACCTGGGCATGGGGTGAGGGGCATGCAGGGGGCTGTCCTGGAGTCTGGATTGGCCTTGCTGACCTCACCCATCACTACTCCAGGTGGGCTGCCTACTAGGCCGGGACAGAGAACGGAGCCGAGCTCTGGTGCAGCTGCGGAGAGAGAATCAGCTGGTGGAGCTTCACTATGATGCTGTCTGCCAGTACATGGGCCCCAGTGATTCGGATGAAGACTGACCTGTGGCCCCACTCCCACCCCAGGCCACTGCCAGCTCTGTACAGTGTGAAAAGCCTGTCTTTGCAGAGGCGGAGCAGTAATCCTTCCATCTTCCACTTGCACTGTGGCCCCAGGACAGGGCAAGGGCAGGACATGAGACAGACGGACCAGCAGGGAGGCTCGAAACAAACCCTAGTATTTTCCAGAAGTCAGTGTGTAATAAAAATCATTTCCCAAACTTTGTAAAATGATGAGATCCTTAATGTGCACTGAGCTGAATGGACATGGAGCTGGGCTGGCCGAGGTGGGAGCTGCTCCAGACTTCAGCCCCACTGCCCTGCATGGGCTGGCAAGACAAGTCAAGAATCTGCTGCTCACGAGCTCATTCTTGGACTACCGAAGCTATGCAGTCTTTCCCTTAAGCAGATATTACAGAGTCCATAATGCTACATGTCCGCACAGCTTTCTGAGCAAGAATCTAGTGACAGCTATGCTTTTACCCTTTTACTCTTGGTCTAGACCAGATGTCTAGAAAATATCTTGAGCCGGTGATGAGAGTCCAGAGGAAAGGGAGGCTTCTACCCACAAGTAGGGTGTGTTTGTAACCAGTTAGTTTGGGGACACCCCTGTTTTAGCCCACAGACTTTGGCTTAAAAGTAAAAAAAAAGGTTTGTGTATCCCAGGTAGAATTTCTCTGATTGCTCCAGGTAACTGGACTCTCAAAAAGGTTATTGTCAGACAGTCTTAAACTTTTTCCTGTTTAATGGGCTGAGCTCCTCAGCAAGAGGAGCCAGAGCTTTATGCATGGTTGCTTCTAAATCATCCCAATCACTAAGTTGCTGATGTAATAAATGGTATCTGAGTTAGATCTAGACCACTGGTATAAACTCATGACATTGTCAGAACATGGCACAGTGCTGGCAAATTTTTTAAAAGTAACTGAATTATATTAAAATTCTTACAACTCTTTTTCTAATAAAATCTTTTTAAAAAGATGTTTTAATTGTCAAAGTATAATTGACAATGTTATCTTAGTTTCAGATATACAATAGTGATTCAACAATTCTATACATCATTCCATGCTTACTACACTGAGTGTACTCACCAGTGTTAATTACATTATTGACTCTGTTCCCTATAGTGTACCTTTCATCTCCCTGACGTTTTTTTGTTTTTGTTTTTTTTTGATAACTGGGAGTTTGTACCTCTTAATCCCCCTTCACCTATTTTCTCATCCCCCTCCTCTTTGGCAGCCATCCTCTAGAGCAGGATGACAAAGGTAAGCCACTGTCCCTGCCAAGCAGAGGAAGACCGCTGTTTCTTTTTTAAAATATTTTATTTATTTATTCATGAGAGAGAGGCAGAGACACAGGCAGAGGGAGAAGCAGGCTCCATGCACCGGGAGCCCGACGTGGGATTCGATCCCGGGTCTCCAGGATCGTGCCCTGGGCCAAAGGCAGGCGCCAAACCACTGCGCCACCCAGGGATCCCTAGACCACTGTTTCAGCCAAAATTGACCAGGTATAGAAAAATAGTGAGTTGGCCAAATCAGTGGTTATATGCCAGTAAGGTAAGGGATCAGAAAACCTTCCAGTCTCATTCCCCAGTATAAAGTACACTAGCAAAGACCAATTTTACTGATTTATCATCCCTAATTCCAGAACTCAGCTGTTTGCAAGATTGGCCTAGCAGGGTGGTTAAGGCATACAGTAGAGGACAAACCCCCACCCCCAGTTGCTCCAGTTCCTGAGTAATGGTTGTGACTGTACATACTGCCCCCAGAATTCCCAGATGGATTATATTTTTCATGTGGGAAAGGGTCGTGCATTCTAAAGTTTCCCAATTTGGCATGTCCAGTAGTCTGTTTCTCATGTTGTATGTGCTACTCAGTCAAGAAGGCCTCCTTTCTCCAGGTCGTAATACATTCATCTTGGTAACACCCTCCAGAAGAGCCTAAAGCCTCCCAGGGAATGGCACCGGTCCCCTGTCTCTGCCTGCAACATGGCATAACTTGGCAGTTTCAGACAAGCCCTTCCTCTTCTCCAGGCACCACGGTTCTTAAAATAGATCTTTCATCAGATTTCAATTTCTTGGAGTTGGCATTTCCCCTCAAGCCTGTATTCAGAAACAGGGCCAGGAGTTCTTGAACACAACCCTGTGCCCAGAACATGGAGCCCCAGCAGAAGGCCCTGTTCCCCCAACAGACCATGACTTTGTGCTTCCCCTGAATGGATCCCTCCTGATCCCTCAGTTCCAGGACAGGCTCCTGAGACAGAAATGTGGAGAGTATCAGGAGGTTTCCCCAATCTATCCCTTGTTCACTGCACACGGAGAGAGACAACCCTGCGCGGTTTTCTCTGGGCTGGCTGCCTGGTGCTTGCTGGCAGCCAAGGTCACCCCTTGGGCCCCCAGTTGCTTTGGCAACAACTGCAGGCCTGTGAATTCTCCCTGGAGCCACCCATGAGTTGGTGACTGTGACCTGTACACTATTCAGATGGCCTTCACATCACAGAGGAGTGAGTGAGCTGTGGGCGAGAAAGCATCTGCCTCCGTATCACTAAGTTTCCAGAAGTCTCCCCAGCAGGGTGCCCTGTTAAAAACTGTCCTGACCCCAGCCATGAATTTATAGCGGGGGATTCAAGCAGTTTCCTGGCCTCTCAGAGAGGGGCGAATTATTTGGATGATTGGAACTGTTGCCTGGGGCTGAGCCTGGTGGCAAATAACAGGCAGGTGGAGTCTCCTGACATCACTGCCTCAGCCAGGGGCTCCTCCCCTCCACCCCCATGGTTGGGGCCTCTTAACCTCGATGTCTTAGCACTAAGCAGAATGATGAAGCAGCCGACAACTTGCATGAGGGGCAGTGGGTCCTCCCTGAGTGCCTTTGTTGCCCCAATCCACCCGATGGGCTCCTATGGAGCCTTTGCTGTTCTGCATGCTAGGGATACAGCAGAGTAAATCATTCAACAATCAGTCCCGACTGTGTGCCAGACATGATTCTGAGTACTTGGAGATACAGCCACAAACAGAACAGAACAAAGAACATTGCCCTTGTGGAGCTGATGTCCCAGTGGGGCTGAGAAGACAATAAGCAAGAAGCAGAAGGGGGCAAATTATTTAGTATGCTAGAATATAAGAAAAGCCAGGGTGGAAAAAAGGAAGAAGAGCAGGGTCAAAGGGATCCGGAGTGGGCAGTCTTCCTATGATGGCCAGGGAAGGCTACAAAGGTGATGTGTGAGCAAAGGTCAGAAGGAAGCAAGGTAGACCGATGTGGCTATCTGCAGAAAGAGTGGTCTGGGCAGGGGAAACCAAGTGCAGGGAGCTTGGGGTGGCACCATTGCTGGTATGTTTGAGGAATAGCAAGGAGGCCGCCGGGGCTGCAGGGTAGTAAATAAGGAAGAGGGAGGTAGAAGGTGAGGTCAGAAAAGCACGGTAGTGCTTGGAGGGCCACACTCTGTTCTGACAGAAAGAACCAGAAGCCCGCACATAACCACTGCCAAAGACTGACTGCTGGTACTCCTGCCTCCACCCTCCCCACCAGCTGCACTAAATACACTTGCCCTTTTTTTTTAAGATTGATTGATCCATTCATTCATGAGTGACACAGAGAGACAGAGACATAGAGAAGCAGGGGAGCCTGATGCGGGACTCGATCCCAGAACCCCGGGGATCATGACCTGAGCCAAAGGCAGACGCTCAAACTCGGAGCCACAACCAGGTGCCCTGAGTGTACAAGTCTTTGAATTGACATAAGTTTCCTTTTCTTGTGGGTAGACTTCTAGGAACAGAATGACTGGATCATATAGTAAGTATATGTTTAATGTTTTAAGAAACTGTCAATAACCCAAGTGTCCAGTGCACTATGAAGCATATAGTAAGCTTTCAATGAATAATTGTTGTCTAAAGAACAACTGACTTTATAACAAACAAAAAAACACAAAACCTATCAAACTATCTCCCAAAGTGGTTGCACCATTTTAATTCCTATCAGTAGTGTCCGAGAGCTCAGTTCCTCGACATCCTTGCCAGTTCTTGGTATGGTCAGTCATTCAGATTTTATCCATGCCAATATTTGTTTCTGGTTTTCATTGTGGCTTTGATTCTCATATCTCTGATAACCAGTGATATTGAGCGTCTTTTCAGGTGTTTAATTGCCACCAGCGTATCTTCTTTGATGAAGAGTCTGGTAAAATTCTTTGCCTATTATTTTTTATTTTTTTATTTTTTATTTTATTTTATTTTTTTAATTATTTATTCATGATAGTCATAGAGAGAGGAGAGAGAGGCAGAGATACATGCAGAGGGAGAAGTGGGCTCCATGCCAGGAGCCCGATGTGGGGCTCGATCCCGGGACTCCCGGGGATCGCGCCCTGGGCCAAAGGCAGGCGCTAAACTGCTGAGCCACCCAGGGATCCCTGCCTATTATTTTTTAAATGGGCTATTTGTTTTCTTACTGAGTTTTTAGAATTCTTTATATATCTTGGATAGAGATACTTTTAAAAAATATTTTATTTATTTATGAGAGACACAGACACAGGCAGAGGGAGAAGCAGGCTCCATGCAGGGAGCCCGACATGGGACTTGATCCCAGGTTTCCAGGATCATGCCCTGGGCTGAAGGCAGCGCTAAACTGCTGAGCCACCAGGGCTGCCCTAGAGATACTTTTTTAAAAAATATTTTAGTTTTATTTATTTGAGAGAGAGAGCATGAAAGGGGGGAGGAGCAGAGGGAGAAGCCGACTCCCTGCTGAGCAGAGAGCCTGACGCTGTATCCCAGGACCTTGAGATCCTGACCTGAGAGGAAGGCAGACGTTTCACCGCTTCACCACTTCACCCACTGAGCCACCCAAGCTCCCTGGATAGAGATACTTTATCAGATAGATACTTTGCAAATGTTTTCTCCCAGTGCGTGGCTTGTCTTTTCATTCTTCCAACAATGTCTTTTGAGAAGCAGAAATGTTAAATTTTGATGACGTCAAACATATCAATTTGCTCTTTTTGGATTGTCCTTTTGACATCATATCAAAGACATCTTTGCCTGGGGATCCCTGGATGGTTCAGTAGTTTAGTGCCTGCCTTCAGCCCAGGGTGCGATCATGAAGACCTGGAATCAAGTCCTACATCGGGCTCCCTGCATGGAACCTGCTTCTCTCTCTGCCTGTGTCTCTGCCTCTCTCTGTGTGTCTCTCGTGAATAAATAAATAAAATCTTTTTTAAAAAAAGGCATCTTTGCCTAATGCAGGGTCACAGAGGTTTTCTAAAAGTCTTCTGGTGATAGATTATACATTCTTTACTTTAGTTCATTTTGAATTAATTTTTGTGCATGGGAGATACAGATCTAGGCTCATTCTTTTGCATATGGATATCAAACAGTTCCAGTACTGTTTGTTGAAAAGACTATCCTTCCTCCACTGCATTGCTTTAAATCATTGTCAAAAATCAGCTATCTACTACAATGAAAAGAAAAAATCAGTTGTCCATAATATATTGATTTGTTTCTGGATTCTATAATATTCTATTGATATATTTGTCTATCTGTATGTCAATATACTGTATTGAATACTGTACCTTTATAATGATTCTTGAAATCAGGTAGTGTTAGCCTTTCAACTTTGTTGTTCTTTTGCAAAGTTGTTTTGGATAGTCTAGGCCTTTTATATTTCTATATGAATTTTATTTTGTTTTATTTTATTTCATTTATTCCTGAGAGACACACAGAGAGAGGCAGAGACATAGGCAGAGGGAGAAGCAGGCTCCTCACAGGAAGCTTGATGCAAGACTCTATCCCAGGACCCCAGGATCACGCCCTGAGCCAAAGGCAGAACATTTTATCACTGAGCCACCCAGGTGCCCCTCCATATGAATTTCAGAAACTGTTTGTCAATTTCTACAACAAAAGAGCCTACTGGATTTGAATCAAATCTACAGGTCAATTTGGGAAGAATCAACATGTTAATATTTAACCTTCTGACCCATGAACAAGATTCATTTGTAAATGC